TAATCTCAAATAAATTGACAAGGCTTTATCATCAACAGGTGGCTCAGCAGTGCTTGTTTTGAACCCTTCTTTTAAAAAATATCACATATTTTGAGGTGCTCAAGCCTCACCAGCTCTGCTCCTATGGACTAATGTTAATGAGCAGAAGCAGAGTGGGATGACGCCAGCTGTATTTGTAGGGTGGGGCAGGAGTTGTGTTTTTCAGTCAAGGACCTTGGTCATATCCCAGCCCCAGAGCAAATTTACCACACAACATATCGTCAGTCTTAACTCACTGACTGCCCACAGCATGAACGGGCTGGAGGTCACAACCAGCTTGTTCGTACTTTTTTTTCCCCTGTGCTGGGCTTCTTCCCAAAAGGAAGTGGGGCGGAGAGGGAACAGTCTGCACCGGTACCTCCTTTCAAGGTGGAGCTGAGTCAGAGCTCAAATTTGCACCCAGAACTCTCCAGCTCTTGGCACATCTCCCACCTTCCTCGAGGAATTAAAAACTACCCAGGAAGACTTCTTAGTTATCACAGATTAGGTTCACCCTTCTGCCAGGTGACTTTTAAAAATGTTTGCAACTGGTAGTACCGATGATGGAATAATAGTTCTTAGATGCAAAATATATATAAAATAACTGTTGATTTTAGGTGTAGGCATTATATCTATTACTTTAATATATATATGTGGATATATAATCCATAGTAAGAATCCCACTTGAACATGGAAGGGTACTATCTAATAACAGGAAACTACAGATATGGCCAAGAGCTGTGCATTTCTTTTCAGTAAGTGATAAAACAATTTGGGATGGAAACCATTCTAGTACTTCAGTCCTGCCAGACCAGCCAATCCCATCAAATAGCTATGCATATTTGTCAGGCCTTAACACTGAACATCTATATTTTTATTGAAAATACAGCTCCAAATCTCCCTTTTCTGATGGTTATAAAGAACTCTCATGGTCGATTATTTTAAAGGTCAATTTACATCCAATTTACTAAGATCTTTCTCTATTAAACAGCAAGAGCTTTCAATTCCCTCCTTGAAACTGTGTAAAGGAGTTTTAGGCTTCTCATCTCGGAAAAAAGCACAGCTAGAATGGATCAAAGCGGACACTTGTAAAAGTCCATATGGCAGGACATATGGAGGTTATGGAGAATAACCTCTCCTAATTGTCATTTCTCCTTTTATAGTGACTCTTCCTGGAGCCCAAAGAAAAAGAGAGTAAGCGACATGCTATATTTCCTGAAAAAAAGTATCTTGCTTCATTTTACCTATCATTAGTTGGCTTTGAAGCTCTACTTTGAATACCATATTAGTGATTTTTTCCTCCTTCAACAAAGTGACTGAAAAGACAGAAAGTGACTCTCATCAGGCACCGGTCTAGGGCTGACTTCCTTTCTAACTGACTGCAAGCCACCTTACTTTCACTTTTTCTGCTTGTAAAATGAGAGCAATGGCATTTATTTGCAATTGTAAGCAACTTAGAAATATATGAAGCAAAAATCTTGTATATTGGTTTATCCTAAGTAAAGGTTGAAGACAGTTAGTACTAAGCTCTTATGGGTTTACTGCACAACAATGTACATAAACATAACCTTTATCTGAGCTTGTCGTTGTTCATATGGTAATATCTAACGTATTTTTGTTAAGGAAGCAGGAAAAAATTGGTTGTCAGAAGTCTATGCTACTGTGTAAAATTAGATTCAAAAGAACCCATAGGAATGACAAGAATGTCCTTTGCTGAACCTTGGTGCCTCATGGAAGAGCTGGCTGCATGTGAAAGGAGGTAGATGATCTTACACATTCCCTCTCCTAGTACTTGCTGCCACATGATGAGTTAATATTTGATTAGACAGTGCTGTATCTATGACACCTGTTCACCAGGGAGGCTAGGCCAACAACTGATGTAATCTACCTTATTATATACTTAATGATAGAGGAGAAGTGCTGCTTTTTCAGCTTCCCACGTCTGCTTTTCATTTCCTCTCCTACACATTCCTGAGGGGTCATGTTCAGTACTTTGCAAGAGCAAACAAACAACTATAAATTCTCTCTCTCTTAATCTCTCTCTGATTCTGTGCAATTTGCCTAAAAAAGAGAAGAAAAAGTTTAAAAATTTCCACTGTGCGCTGTGTTTCTGGAAAGAAAATTACTTCTTGCAAATAGTTATTTATATACCTGTGTGGCTAGATTTCTCTGATTACAACAGATCACAACAGAGAATACAAAAAAATTGGTTTGGTACTAAAGCTACACGGAATAGTTCATATTTTTCACTGGTGGTTCACACACTTGGCCATTGCTTTCAGATCCTCTTCACAATTGTCCTCTCAAGAGAACTTTTCCCTTTGACTAGTAGGATCTACTCAATTTTTTAGGTCAGTTCTCTGAAAAAGATAGTGGTTCTTACTGTCACCTTGCAGGAACTCCAAAGCACCTCATCTGAACAGAATCCTAACTCATCTCCCTATTGTTTGTACCCATGATTCCCAGGGTACAGTGCCTCCCTTTAGGAAAAGTGCTTCTGGTTTGCACCACTAGCAATCACAGTAATCTTTGTAATCTGAATACAATTTTTATTTCAAATGTGCAAGGTTGTGTTCAGGAGACTCTACTCAGTGAAATTTCTGTGGTTTTTTCAATTCAGCCTTCACAACTTCTGTAGCTTTCTTGTTAAGAAATCCCCATCTCTATAGGGAATCCCTCAAATTCCCACATAACTATAGGTGATTACAGCATTTTTTAATACAAAGATATATAGAAAAAATATATAGCATATATTGCCCTTCTTACTCTAACTCTTCTTATAATGTGAATATATAATCTAGAGAATATTTTCTCAAATTTCCATTTCCAATTTTTTCTTCCCGTTCTAAAGAAGTCATCTTCCCCTGAAGTAAAATTTGCCTTTGAACAGAGGTAAATTTTTGGGGGGAACACTACCACTTCTTTTCTTTTCTTTTCTATGTGTTCTTTTATTGGAAATGTGAAGGCTGAGAATAAGACAGGGTGTGTCTGTCATTGCCCTGGGCTAGGTCCTTTCTTCAGTTCAGGGACAATGTTAAAAGGCCTGGATAGGCTTTGAACAGAAACAGCTGACAATTCCCAACTGATCAAGGGTGGTCAAAAAATCTGTGAAAAAGTTGTAGTCAGTCTATGTGGAAATAAGAGCAAACAGTAATTTTGTTTGTAGATGTGACTGTTGAGCTACCAAAAGTCTTCATTCACTTCTGTCTGGTACTCACCTTCTTACTGGTCAGAGTTCCCATAGACACAGCAACACATCTATGCTGGGGAAATAGGTGGTGGACCTCAATAGAACTGCGAAAAAATGCACACTGAGACTGCACTGGGAATCAGTGTTTGAGCATCACAGCTCATGTGAGGATTCCCAGATACATTTTTGAAAGTGATACACAAACAATTCTTGACATGGGATTCATGTGACTGCATTTCTAGTCCCTATGATTTTGCTGCCACTTTGATCACATCTCACAAACAAGTTCATGTCCAAAATTAGGCTGGAAAAAATGCTGCTATAATTATTTAGAGGAAATAGGAAGAGGAGAACATCTTCCACTGCCAGCTACTATGCCCACAAAGATAACAAAAGCTTTGGTAGAAGATAACAACAGGCATGTTCTAGCACTCTCCACTTTGAACCTCTTCCAGGAACTGATGGCAAGAAATAAGCACTGTGGTGCAAGACTGAGAGGCACGTTCTAGAGAAAACACACCATGAGTTACACTGGTCTAAAAGGCGTGCACTAGGAAGAAAAAAAAGGCCTGATCAATGCTCTTTAAACTCTTTTACAAGGACTTTCTCCCCTGCCCAGGCCATTTTACATGTTTATTTACTACACTATAAATCACACTTCAGGAAGTTGAGAGGACAAATGAAGCCTGCCACAGTTCTGCATGAATCTAACATGTTTTCTTAGGCAAGACAGGAGTTGACAGAGCATCAAATGATCATGTTCCATCTATAACTTTCACTCTGTCAAGTCTTCTGTCCTCTGCACACCAATTATAATAAATAGAGCTGACTGCATATAGCCAGAGGAAAATAAAGGCAGATCTCTAACATATGTAAAAGATTCAGAGATTTTTAAATCTTTTGAATGTTTACACTCTGTTCTCTTTGGTTTGAAGACAATAAAAAGCTGGAAAGGAATGCATCTTCACAAATCAACATCAAAATGTAAGTAAGAATATCAGCTCAGAGTATCATCCTCTTATAGTGGGAGCTGAAGAGAGAATGTGGTGTCAGGAAGCCTGGCTGGGTGAAATATCTTTACAATAGGATGCATTCCTGAGTTCATGAGAAGTAGTAGTGATTTATCCTCCCACAGGTATTAACACCTCAAGCTTATTGTTTGCCAGTAAGAAATAGTCAAACCCCACACACCCCTCTTTGCATTTTTTTGGAAGGACTTTTCTCCAGCCCTGTGTTTTACATATTTATGTTCCACCTTGTGTAGTTAGTGCAGATTATTCAAGATTTGTAAAACATGAAGGGTAGGAAAGGAATTCTCAAAGTCATGTAGCTTTACAATTTCAGTCATGAAAAGATATGGCTTTAATACTATCGCTTTTCTGGGAGCCTAGTATGGGGATATTGTTCTCAGGAGTCCTGTTTCATAGAAAAAAGTGTATTTCATCAAGGACGTTATCACTATGAAATAGAAAAAACATGTAATTATAAATTGGATGTACATGTATCAGAAAAGACACACAGGCTAAGAGATAATTTGTTTCAAAATATATACTGGATAATTTCATTATATTCCATTTTTATTTTGCAGTATGTACTGAATTATTTTTTAACTGAAAACTGCTTCATCTCTATTTCAAAAGGAAAACTGGTGGTGACAAGAACATGTCAGAATAGAGATGGAGACTTGGGAAAATAATCATATAGCCAACTGTTAGTGGATTAGAGACCAAGGTGGTTTTGTTAGTGTAAAGTTGTCAGTCCCAATGTTACTACAAAGAGTGAGGGCACCACCTGCTGTTTCAGAAATTTATTTATTTGGGTCATGACAGTAACTCTTCAAGTACTGCACTCAAAAACTAAGTAAGCTGTACTTCTTTAGGAAAGCTTCCTCCTGAAATGAAGCTTATGCAAGACGATTTAATGTGTTTTCAGTTGCCTGTTCACACAATGAACTGTATTGTAGCCACAACGCTGGTCAGAGATGACTGAATATGGGAATACTCAGAGATTTTCAAAAGAAAGGAAGTATTTCACACTTCTCTTCTGCTGTAGTACATGGGCTCTTCCTCATCCAGGGCATCAAAATTTAGCAGTCACACTTTTTCAGAAGATCTGATCGGTAGAAATAGCATCTTTATCATGACAATGGTTTAGGTCATTTTATGAGCTGGAAGTTATGGAATAACTAATTACTACTGCAAGACATCAAACTACAGTTCAACCAGTTTTTGAAAATTTTGAAAGGACCTGGTTTCCAAATTTTCCCAGTTGAGAAGACGAGGATTCATACACACCCAGCTACAGTACAGTAGTCCCTTCATTAGCAACACGAATTGTATTCTTATGCACAGATCTTATTTAAACATGCATGAAGGACTTCATAAACTCAGCTGTCTGGCAGTTCTGAGACAATTTGACCATAGCAAATTAAATCCCTAGCTGACCAAGAGATAAGCTCTAGAGTGTGATTACAAAGTCAGAGTAGCAGTTTGGATCCTCTGAGTTAGCAAAGACAGAATGTCTGCTTAATTTTTCCTAGATGCCACAAGGAATCACCTTACAGTCTTCTCTTCTTCTGAATATTAAGTGGCACTTTGGATGATCAGACATAATCAGATTCTTGTATTTTATAGGCTGGTAAGGGACTTTTATAAGGAATGGTCATTCATAAATAAAATGATCAACTGCTAAAACTTCCATGAGAGTTAAGAATTATTGCTAAAGGAAAATGGCCAATTTCTATACAAAGGCCTTCAGCCATTTGGTCAGAGAATGTCTTTAAGGATTTTAAGTGAAAGCGAGTTCAGAACAGCAGCAGCAGCTGCAGTCTCTTCGCAAATTTTGGAAAACAACACAAAATATTAACAAATTGTATTGTTTTGCCAAGGAAGATGACAGCATGGCCCACTTCCTCTTCAACTAGAGCCAAGATTTACATTGCCCACTTACAAGAAAAATTATATGAGATATTTTAATTTTTATCCTGTATAAATAATTTCTGATTTGTGCATGAAAAATTCAAGGGAAGAGTGAAAAACATGTATAACTTGATTAACACCCATCAGCTAAGATGAAGTTAGCAGATTTTTTGTAACATCTTCACATCAAACATATTTCAGTAATAGATGCATAACTCATGGTTCATCCAACAGTATATGTTCTTACAAGGTAACAATAGAGATGTCAGTACGGTGTCCTGTTTCCCCCTTTAGAAGATGCTTTGTACATCTGAAAGATGTGCAAAACAAAAATCATCTAGGATTGCATCAAGCTTGTGCATTTATTTGTGGCTTATTAAAAATTAATTCATTGTTGTAAATTAATGATAATAACAAATTAGTAAAAACGTCTTCTTTTCTTCTTTTTTTTTACACAAATAGTTTTATTACAAACTTGTTTTCTTAAGAAATACACATGTAAGAAATTACACAAAGGCCTTGGCATTTGTAAAAATTTTTTGGTATTCGCATGGTAATAGTCTATAAAACATCTTTGGACACAAACGTGCTCAAACAATGGTATCTTTGCATAGAAATTCTTTAGAAATATTTCTGAGGCCACTTTGAAGAATTTTTTTGGCACAGTATTAACAAAATTAAGGCCTTATACTTTTCAAAATCAAGTCATTCAGTGTGTGAGTAGTGTTTAAAACCCTGAAAAATATTAAATACAGAATAAAGACTATAAGCTCAAAGCAGGATTTACTATAATAAACACAAATAGCTATTAACCTGGGTTCAGTCTCTGCAACTTCAGCATTGAAATGGCCTATGTAAAATGAACATTTCACATCATATTTTGGCATTTAACACCTAATTCATGATACTAAAAAGAAGAAAACTTTTGTAAGCTTTTTTTTGAAATTATAAACTCAGAGCTTGATTTGCCTAATGGTTCGTATCTATATAAATTACTAAAATATTTATATATAATTTTTTCTTGACCATTGCTGTATCATTCTTTATTCCACAGGAAAGTTTGTTCTACTGCATAAAGAAGCTGCATAGTACCAACATAGCAGAAACACTTGCCTATCTGGGAAGCCAATTTGGCAATCTCTTCCAGATGTAGTCCCATTAAAACTGACAGCACTAAAGACTACAAACAGAAGCAAAGGTTTGCAGGATGGCACTCTATGTTGTGAAAAGATGGTTACGTGCTACTTAACCACAGTCTGTAATCCCAAACCTCTTTTTTACATTAGTATTGCTTTGTACAGGAACAATAAGTACATACCCGAGAGTTTGGAATTTTAAGACACCTAAATAACGGTAACAACAAACTTATCTGGGGAAGAAAAATGAATCTAAATATATAATACAAGAATGAGAAAGGGGGGTCAAACAGTATAAGGCAGAACTGCATACCTCCTAGCACCTTTGCATTTTTTTCTGGATAAATGCTGACTTTTTATTCTATCAGTGCATTGCATTTATATAAAAAATACATATACTTTGATCAAAAGTGCCATTTGGCATGTCAACATTTGAAGCTTATCTTTGTTGTCTCTTTTCTTCTTTAGCAAGGACAGGGCCAGTAAAGCAGTGTGTGTTAGTTATGCAAGTTCCTAAAAGGCACTTTACTGTTTTCATATTGGACAACAATGAGGTACATATGATATATGTCTAGGCTTCATTGCTGTTAAACGAATAGCACCATATTGTGTGAAATTAGTTGAAATTCAAAAGTCATTATGTTTTTCTCATACAGACTTGACAACGGCTAACGTTTGAGCGTAGATCTCCTGCTTTCAAAGTTGAGGGAGTCGGTTTCCTATTAAAAAGAAACAAATTAAAACACCCGTTAACAATTGTTGATACAAAGAGACAGTTTTCAATAGTATAACTGACAACACAAACTTTGAATGCAGCCAAGTGTCTCTTCAAGATGTGCTGAGTCAAGAAGGTGTTCCTAAATTCTCCAATGTGTAATCACTTCCAAGTTTGGTCACAAACTATCTATCATAAGATTAGTCTTAAATATCACTCAGTTACTTTCGAATTCAGTTCTGTCACGAGGCAAAACATTTTCTTAACCAGAAAACACTATCTGTTAAAGCAGCAGTTTGAAAACATGGTAGAATTTGTGTAGTAAAATAAAATTGGGCAAAGAAGCTGAAGACATTTGACTGTTCATGAGTTTCTGCTAACTCTTGGGACTTTATAGAAAAATGAAAAACCAGCAAAGGAAATTATTTGATGTCATATAGAAAGAGAAACCAAAGCCTTTAGTCTTCAGCCTATCATAAGATATTTCCCAGCAACTGGAAATAAAACATTTCAGACAAAAGTGTGCTTACATCTAATGCTTTTCATTAAAAATGATTACGAGTTTACTGGAAATTCAGGAGAATTGATGAATTATGATAGTAGGGTAGGTTCCATGATCTGAGGTTATTTTATAGAATCTAAGGTATAGTTTGTAGCCAGAAAAGTTTAGAGGTCTCTGGGAAGCACTCAATGAATACAAACAACTGTAGTGCTGACTCTAAATTTTCTTCTGACCAACTTTCCTCTTTCCTAGGGAGCCAGCGCTGACCCCAGTGATGGGTGTTTTCAGTAGCTTTTCTGGTTGAGGAGATTATCACAATCCCAGTGATAATCAGTCCCGGTGTTCAATTTTTCTACCTACTGAGTTGACAATTATCTGATAAACAGTGAAAACTGGCTAAACAACCTGCTTCATTCTGACAGAGACAGGCTAAGCAGTGTTCACAGATCTAGAAGATACAAAGAGATAAAGGGTACCAGGAGCAGCAGTCAGGACTGTGGTGGAAGAGAGTGCTTGCCTGCACTCCAGAGAAATGTCTGCTGATCAATTAAGCTATGCTAAAATATTAATAAAATTCATATAGAGCAAATTAGACTGTGTTAAAAAATACATATGTGCAGGAGACCAGAACAAAGCCTACTACCACCAGCTGTATTTTATTCAAACCTACTTCCTCTCACATTAGAGAAAGGTAAATAATTGTTCCACTCAGTTCAATACCTGTACTAAATTCAAGTGGTTCTATTACATGTTAACATCCACTATGGGAAAATGTTTCATTTCAATCAATATGTCAGCCTATCCTAGTTACTGCCTAGTGAATACAATCAAGCATAGTGGAATTGCAAACATTATTAGATTATTCCAAAAAGTAAAATACGAATGACACATTATGAACACTAACTGATGATACATTATCCCAAAAGCTACTAATTTTTATTTACTGTTATGAAAATAATTAACTACATATACTAACTGGACTAGTGGACAGCCAATACTTGAACCTGTATTACATTCAAACAATACTTCTTTTATTCAGTGACAAGGCTTGACTGAGTCTCAAAGATCGATAAATAAATCATGAACTTACTTGAACATCTCATTCCTCTCTATAGTGGCAAGCCAGAAGCTGTAAGCATTTGCATAATAATTGCAGGTGCCCCGGCCGTGGCATTCAATGAAGGGAGCACTTCGGAACTCCTCTAGGCAGGAACCAGGAGACGCCAGGGCCTGGCCAGAGCCCTCTGCACCAGCACTGGTGTGCTAGAAAAATGCAAAGGCATTGATCAGAGAAGGACACTTCACCTCTTCTGCTACAACATCTATGAACTCTCTTGCACAAATATTTCTTCATACTTCTCTCCTTGTCCTCTCTTGTGTCTAACTGCTGTTTTGTTCCTCAGCTCAAGGAGAAGCAAGAAGGTGGAGCTGAAGGGCTCCAGAGGTGGCACTGGGTTGTCTCACTTAACAGCAGCACAACACATCAGCAACATCAGCTTCAGGGCAGCCATAAGAACAGAAATTCTTCAGAACTGACAGTAGGATCCAAGCTATCTCTATGTAAGCAACAGACCAAGGCCAGCTCTTGGCCCAAAAGGCATAAGGACTGGTACAGCTTATATCTGAATAGCTTAACCCAATCCCCACCCCACATCACAGTGGCCTCTCTCCCACTGCAAAGTGCTAACAGCTCTGAATCCATGCTGTTTCTCAGACCTTGCCTAGGCCTTGCCTGGGAAAATGGTCCAATTCTTTTTAAAATCACCAGAAAGGGTGGAGGAGTAATGCCCTCGTAAGGCCTGAAGTGATATAGCCAGATATTAATTTTCCCAGAGCAGGAGTGTAGATCAAATGCCTGAGGAAAATGCTTTCCTCAGCTCAGAGTATGCCCCAGTGCACTTACCATGACAAAGGAGTAACCAATCCAAAGTGAACTCCAGCCTTCAGGACACGGTGGTATTTGAATTGTTTGACTGTGGACGGCTATTACCATGGCAGGAGCTTCACACACAGAGCATCTAGAAAGACCAAGATATGAATAAGCTGCATGCACTTAAGGATTAATACTTCTTTATTCAGAAGTTACTTTCTTTAAGCAATCTTGAAATAGAAAATGTTGTCATGATCAAAACCAAAGGAAAATCACAAGGTTTCATTTAGAAAAACAGCCAACTGGTTCTTTTTTTTTTTCTTTTTTTGTTAATTTGTAATTTCTCCCTTACTTAGGGACAGTTTAACTATTAAGTCTTATTCCTATTAGCCTTCCTACAAGCAAAGAACAAGAGACCTCTTACCTAAATATTTACATGTCTTTGTCCTTTCCTTGTCCCATTTGTACTGTAGTTTCTAAGAGTGGTCAATGTTATGAACACGGGAGGCAAATAGCCAAACATTGTAACTCAGCAAGTATCACTTAAAAGTGGTCTACTGTAATCAGAAATGAGTAACAGCAATTCATCATCCTACACACAGCTCTGAGTGACTTCCATAGAAAAAGCCGTCTCTCTGGAAGATGTCTTCCAAAGGTAACCACTGCTAATCTAATCTAATGCAGACTCTTCCCCATGCATTTTCCTTGGAAGTAGTTTTTATTTACATTTGTGCTCTTTAGCTTCAGTAAGAGATTTCTAGCAAAGTAACTTGAACAACAAACTTCAAAGCAGCTCTTCAGAAAGCCATGCAGCACCATTTCTCTTACTTTAGATAAATTCACTGTGTCTCAGAACTGCTAGGTTAGTGAATAATCCAGTCATCAATCATGCCGTCACAGGAGAATCATAAAAAAATATGAGTTGGACTAGAAATTTTAATATGCAGGCTAGTAACAAGGAATTTGGTAGATATAATCCATTTTTTTCTTGTACAACTCCTCAGCTGGCTATTGTAGTAGCAACTATGAAAATCATTCAAAACTAAACAGTCTAATTCCTGTTATCAGAGCAATGAAATCAAGTGCAAAATGGATTAAGTCGGGTTCTGGAAAGTTCAGAGAATTCAGAATGAAAGCCTTCTATTTCTGCCTTATGATAACTGCTTTCATACCTACTGCCTTCATCTTTAGTGCAGAAGCAAGACAGTTATTTTAAGAAACACATCAATGAAAGAGTAACTTTAAAGAAGGAATGTAAAGCTGCCTCTATTCTTGGAGCTCTGCTTTGCTTCAAGAGATTTCTGGTATTTCAGTAGAAGGCCTTACATGAAAAGAAGTCCCATGACCCAAGGCAGCAAGTGACACTTCTATACATTTTCAAATTCAGGAGTGGGAAACTTGTTGCTTACAAAGCCTCAACTAATAAAATTAATTGAAAGAAGAGTCTTTCGAGTTCTTTGCTGGTTTTTTTTCAAAAGGTGTATTACAATATCCCACTCGCTGCTATGGCTAAAAGGAGAAAAACAAATATACACACACATACACATATATACACACATACACATTTTTAAGGTACAAAAGCTACTCTACAGGCATAAGATAAGACAAAACATTGGTGGGTACCTCCTTGAGCAAGAGTTTCAAAAGTGATTGTTAAAGGCTATTTTGGGTGCGTAATATGGCATGGCATTAAAAGGCACATGAATTTAAGAAGTTGGTCACTTAATTTTTTTTAAAATTCAAGCCCCTTCCATTCATAAAAAATTAACAACTGAAAATGTACCAACAAAAGCTATAGGCTCTCTTGAGAATCTTGTCCTCAATCTGCCACTCATTTTCAAGACACACTAAATTCTTTTGCACTAAACCGAAAATAAGAGTGCAGAGTACAACTGCAGACACAAGATGAATTCCACTGTGCAAAATAACTATCAAGTGTTTTGCAGTAGAGCCATATAGTTTTTTGAACATACCAAGATATCAAGACTACAACCCACTGAGGATTTAGATTGTCTTTTCTCTTGGATGGTATATACAGACCTGAGAAAACATTACCAGGAATCTCCACTCCCATTCACTATACATGACTGGAAGAGGGATCAGCAAGAGCTGCTACAGATTAGAAGCAATGATAGGAATTATAGTAATGCCTATATCTAATGATTATCACTTAAGCTGTACGTTGGAGATTCCATTGTCAGATCCACATCTAACAACAGTAGTACAGTTTACTACACTTTTGCTTACAACTCTGCCTTCAGCATTGGACATATGAGGCCAAGAGAGTTTTTACTAGTAGCCTTAAAATTTAAAATGGACCAGAAGTTCAACATGTTGGATTGATGCAGAACAGATATGCCCGATATGAGTGCCACTCTTTATGCTAGTTGAGAATCTGGAATTATTAAAAAATAGATGACTGATTTTGCAATTGTTTCCTCTAATTCAGACAATAATGGCTGTGTTCAAGTAGAATGTCCAAAACAATGGAAGAAGCCTGGCAGTCTACTGTATGATAAATAATGCTACCATTTTCAAACAAAAGGAAACTGAGCCCTAAAAAGCTTCTAGCTATGGCTAGTCAAAAAAACAGAAGCGCTTTGGACAAGAATTGTGAATAAATGCAAAAATTTTTCTCCTTCAAAGTCATCATGGCCAGGCTTCGTGAACGAAGATTTGAGGAGGGCTCTACCCACATCTGTTACAAGCACGCTGGTGATTAAAAAGGCCAATACGAGACAGGCACATCCGGTTGCAAAAGGCATAGCAGAAAGACTCCTTAGGTGGAATATCTGCAAGGCACAAGTCTTTCTGCGTTGTCTTTTCTCCTCAAGGGTGATCCTGTATGCTTTCTCAAACGCATCAGCAGCATTATAGTGTGTCTCCAGACCTCCCAATTGGAGGCCAGAGTAGACCAGTTATGGCAGTCAATATGGCCAAGGCTGAGATGTTGTTTCAGGGAGTCCTTGTATCTTTTCTTTGGGGTTCCTCTCTTGCGGCAGCCGGTGGCAAGTTCACCATAAAGCAAGATCTTAGGGAGGTGGTGGTCCTTCATCCTGGAGACGTGCCCTGCCCAATGCAGCTGTGTTCTCAGCAACATGGCCTCTATACTTGTGACTGCTGCTTGTTCTAGAACAGATATATTGGTCACATAACCTGACCAGTGGATGTTTAGGATTGTACGGAGGCAGCGTTGATGGAAGCGTTCTAGGAGTCGCAGGTGGTGGCGGTAGATGACCCATGATTCAGATCCATATAAGAGAGTAGACAGCACAATGGCTCTGTAAACACTGATCTTTGTGCTTTTCTTCAGGTGTTTATTTCGCCAAACTCTTTTATGAAGCTTTCCAAAGGCACTGTATGCCTTTGCTAACCTGTTGTCTATCTCTCTGTCAATCTTACCATCCAAGAAGATGAGGCTACCTAGGTAATTAAACTGTTGGACTGATTTGAGCACTGATTCACTAATGGTGATATGGGGGTGATGAGAGACTTCCTGAGGTGCAGGTTGATAGAGAACTTCTGCCTTCTTTAAGCTGACTTCCAGCCCAAAGAGCTCAGCAGCGTCTGTGAAGCAGGATGTTAAACGCTGCAGAGCTGCTTCTATGTGGGTGACAAGGGCGGCACCATCAGCATAGAGCAGCTCCCGGACAAGATGGTTTATGGTCTTGGTGTGGACCTTCAGTCGCCTTAGGTTGAAAAGGCTTCCATCAGTGTGGTATCAAATGTAGATACTGTCCTGATCATCAAGGTCTGCCGTGGCCCTTTGGAGTATCATGCTAAAAAAGACTGTGAATAGGCTTGGTGCGAGAACGCAGCCTTGTTTCACACCACTGGTAATTAGAAAGGGCTCAGAAAGTGCATTGCCATATCTGACTTGGCCGTGTTGATCCTCATGGAGTGAGATGATCATTTTAAGGAACTTAGGGGGACAACCTAAGCGTTTCAAAATCTGCCACAGACCTTTTCTGCTCACAGTATCGAAAGCCTTGGTGAGGTCGACAAAGGTTACATAGAGACCTTTGTTCTGTTCCCTACACTTCTCTTGCAGTTGTCTGAGAACAAATACCATGTCTGTGGTACTCCTGTTGGCTCTGAAACCACACTGACTTTCAGGTAGAACTCCTTCTGCTGTGGCAGGTATTAGTCTGTTCAGAAGTATTCTTGCCAGGATTTTGCCAGCAATGGAGAGCAGAGTAATACCACGGTAATTTGAACAGTCTGATTTAACTCCTTTCTTCTTATATAGGGTGATGATGACTGCATCACGAAGGTCTGATGGTAGTTCACCTAGTTCCCAACAGTGCACCACAAACTCATGAAATTTGGTATGGAGTGCAAGGCCCCCACGTTTCCAGGCTTCGGGTGGAATTCCATCAACCCCAGCTGCCTTGCCGATTTTCACCTGCTGTATGGCCTTGAGGGTTTCTCCTAAAGTGGGGGCAGTATCTAATTCGTACTTCACCTGTTGTTGTGTGATGGATTGAATAGCTGAGTCTTGGACTACACAGCTGGTACTGAAAAGAGTCTGAAAGTGTTCAGACCATTGATTCAGAATGGAGGTTTTAATCTGTCAGAAGTGTTTGACCATCAGCGCTGAGTAGAGGACTTTGGGTTTGGTATGTAGGCCTGTATGCTGTTTTCAAGGTTTCATAGAATCCTCTGTGATCACCTGTGTCTGCGCATAATTGTGTTTTTTCAGCTAGACTGATCCGCCACTTGTTCTGGATGTCATGGAGTTTCTGTTGGAGCTTGCTGCATGTAAGGTGAAAGGCTGTTTTTCTTACGTGACAGGATGGCAGTGCAAGGTGTGCTTGGTGAGCAGTTCTCTTCTTCCTCAACAGTTCCTGGATCTCTTGATTGTTTTCATCAAACCAGTCCTTGTTCTTATTGAGGGAGAACCCTAAGGATTCTTAAGAGGACTGGAGGATGGTGTTTTTAATGTGGTGCCAAAGTGTTACAGGAGAGGTATCTGTAGATTCTGTGGAATGGTTATCGAGCCTGGTTTGAAGATTGGCCTGGAATCTGTCTCTCACTGTGGCTGACTGGAGATTGTTAACTTGGAGTCTCCTCCTTGGGATACTGCCCCCTTTAGGTTTGAATTTAAGATTGAGGTTAAGTTTACAGCGCACCAGACGATAGTCTGTTTGACACTCTGCACTGGGCATCACGCGGGTATGGAGGACATCGCGGACATCTCTCCGTCGCACCAAGACATAATCAGTGAGGTGCCAATGCTTAGATCTGGGGTGCATCCATGTTGTCTTCAGACTATTTTTCTGCTGGAAGATAGTATTAGTGATGGTGAGCTGTTGCTCCGCACAGAATTCTAGCAGAAGTCAACCGTTATCATTGTAGCTTCCAACACCATGCTTGCCTAATATTCCTTTCCAGGCTTCAAAATTCTTTCCTACTCTGGCGTTGAAATCACCAAGGATAATGATCTTATCATCTGCAGGAACCTTTTGGATAAGGCGGTGCAGGTCAGCGTAAAATTTATCTTTTTCAGCAGGGTCAGCTTGGAGAGTTGGGGCATATATACTAAAGAGGACGACGTGTTGGTTGTTGTGAAGTGGAAGGCATAGGGAGATAATGCGGTCAGAGTGACCTGTTGGCAGATTTTCGAGTTTAGGAACAACAGAGTTTTTGATCATGAAGTCGAATCCTGAGAGATGCTTTTCGGTTCTGGGCTTACCTGACCAAAAGAGTGTGTAATCGGCACCATGTTCTCTGAGGCTGCCTTTCTCGTGAAGGTGAACTTCGCTGAAAGCAGCAATGTTGACGTTGAGATGTGACAGTTCATGGGCAATTAGGGCAGAACGACGCTCAGGACGTCCGCTATCTGCAGAATTGAGCATGGTTCTGATGTTCCAGCATGCTAGAGTTAATTTGGGTACACCTTTGGAGGCAGCTGTATATGCCTTTGTCTTTTGATCTCTGTGTGACTGCATTTGTAGAAGATGACGCTACAGGGCTTTGCAGATGTGGGTAAGGCTTTCGAGCCTGCGCAGTGGATTTTTTAGGTGAGACGCAGCATGCATAGAACTGAACCCACCCTTTAATCCTAAGGTTCATCTGCCAGGGCCGAGCGAACTTGGATGGTGGCAGTGAGGTCCTCAGGATGTAGGTTTAATTAGAGTGACCTTCTCTTAGATGGATGGCTTTACAGAGCTAATTGAGCTCCATCTGCCCAGGTTTAGAGTTGTCCGTCTCCTCTGTGTGTTCCGGAGCTCCCCCTCTCATCTCCCATGAGGGCACAGTCCGTGCCGGCGAAGCTCCCCTTCTCTCGCTCCTTTCCATGCCCAAGGCCGGGCCCCAGTGCCCGGGGCCGGGCTGCGCCATGCGCCTGCACCTGGGGCCGGCCGGGGCCATGCCACCACGTGCCCACATTCCAGGGCCGGTCCTCCTTCAAAGTACATCATAGCTTTTGAAAGACAACATTTCTAAGTAAATCTTTTCATATCAATTATACTCAAAATCGACTACTCTATTTATTTAGGTTTCACCTGAAATGGATTTATTTTTGATCAAAGTCTAAACTGAAAACATGCACATTTTGAAACATTTCATCAAAGGAACTCAAATTTTAAATTTAAAGGCAGTAAATAAAAATATACAGATTAAAAGCCTTTTCCAGAAAAATAAAGTACCCTATGCTATTTTCACAGGCCTCTTCACTTTATAAATACAGTAAATTGAAATCTTACCTGCTGATGAATGGTCTGATATTATCACCAGTGATAGGAGCCATATTCATTGGCATGGGTTCAGGAGTGGACAGCCAGTAGGAATAGTCATTTCTTGATGCAAAATTACAAACGTTGTTGATATTGCAGAATAAGAAAGGCATGGTACTGAATTTACGAAGACAGCTTCCTGCTGTGCCTGCAATGTTAAGTGAAAGGTTACTTGTTAACACAGTTTTGTCAAACCATTGCCAACTGCCAAACAATTAATTCCAGGAGCAGCTAAAAAAAGCAGAGGACACTTGCTCTGGAGGGCCCAGTTCTCTCAGAGGAAGTGACTTCTCTTAGCTCCATGAGGAAGGAATAGGGCAAGGCAAAGAGTAGTCCAGTCTTGCCTGTAGAATTACGGAATACATTAGGTTGGAATAGATCTCTAGAAGCCTATCCTAATCCCCTACCATTTACATCAGGTTCGGGGACCCGTGGTGGTCTAGTGGTTAGGATGCAGCACTCTCGCCATGGCGGCCTGGGTTCGATTCCTGGTCAGGGAAACTCCCCCGGGCAGATGGAGCTCGTCAGCCCTGTAAGGCCATCCATCTAAGAGAAGGTCACTCTAAACAAACCTGCGTCCTGAGGACCTCGCTGCCACTATCCAAGCTTGCTTGGCCCCAGTAGATGAACCTTAGGATTAAAGGGTGGGCTCAGTTCAGCGCACACTGTGTCTCACCTAAAAAATCCACTGCGCAGGCTCGAAGGGTAATGACCTTTTCCAAATCTTCGCTCACGAAGACTGGCCATACCTACATCAGGTTCATTGGGTCCAGAGTCAGCTGAGTTTTGAGTATGTCCAAAGACAGAGATTCAACAACTTCTCTGAGGTCCTGTTCCAATGGCTGACCATCAGCATGCCAAAAAAGCTTTTATTTATGTTTCACTGGAATGTATCTCATACCTGTGTCCATTGCTTCTTTTGTCACTGGGCCCCTCTGGGGGGCCCTGTAGACAATTGTAAATTGCAATAAAGGCCTTCCCCCAAACACCTGTTAAGGCTGAGCAAACCCAGTTCCATCAGATTGACCAGATCCAACCAGCCATTTCAGTAGCTAGCTGTTGTATTCACTGTGGTATATCAATATCTTCCTTGTTCTGCAATGCCCAAGTCTGGGCTGGCTGTGCCTCACAACAGCCAAAGAGAGGAAAAGAATCACTTCTCTCCATCTGCATTTTTTGCCAGTGTAGTCCAGTAGGTTGAGCAGTGGGGAAAGGGCAAGGGCACACTGCTAAATCATGTTCAGTGCTCACCAGGGCTCCCAGGTCTTTTTCTGCAAAGCGGCTCTTCAGAAATCTGTACTGCTACTACTGGAAGTAGCAGACAGTCCCCAGTCTGTTCTGTTGCACTAGGTTATTTCATTCTAGGTGCACCACTTTGCATTTGCCTTTATTGAACAACTTGAGGCTCAGCCCTTTTCTCTACTTTGGCCAGATCTCTCTGAAAGGCATCTGTGCCCAATGGGGGATCAACCATTCCTCCCAATCTGGCATTACCAACAAACAGGTAAGAGAGTGTGTTCTATCCCACCACCCAAGTTATTAACAAATTCATTAGACATTGGCCCAGTACTAGTTCCTGAGGGACATCACTAATTAACAACCACTACTCGGACTTTGTACATCTGCTCACCTGAACATGATGGACCCACTGATTTTCCACTCACCTTATCTACTTAGGTAGCCCATATCTCACTAATTTGACTTCAAAAGATACCAGGGATGACCACGTCAAAGACTTTGATAAAGACTTTCTTAAATAAACTGACACTGTTTCCAATATACACCAAACCATTTCTTGTACCAAACTAGAAGGCATAATAAAGCACCATCTAGCCAAGAGTAATTACATAGATTTGCTCAAGACAGTTCTACAAATGAAAGAAACATTTGGTTTGTAATGAATTCTAATTGAATTCTAATTTGGTCTCTACTTACCCAGATCTTGGCCATGTGCTCTTTCATTGCCTTGCACATAAAGCAAGGAGTAGCCATGATAAATCAGCCTTGTTCCAAATGGACATGATGGTTCTTCAGTGGTTTGACTGTGTCTGGTAACAAGGAAACCATGAGCAACAGATGGTGCACCTGGTGGGCCCATAGCCCCAGGCAAGCCATCGGGGCCTGGTGGACCAGGAAATCCTCTGGGCCCTACAATACAGAGAGTCTCCTTATATTTCTACAGACAGCAGCACTCTTCCTACATAACTAAAGAAGTGAAGTTAGATATATTCACATCTAATACCATATATTATTTTTCTATTAAGAAATCAAGTCTTCGAAGAACTCCTGGGCTTACCTGGGGGACCGTAAGGACCAATTTCTCCTTTTTGCCCAGGCTGACCATCAAACCCTGGACTACCAGGTGGTCCAGGTACACCTGAAGGTCCTGTCACTCCTGTTGAAGAAAAAAAGGAATAATTATTACTGGATACGATTTCATGTTAGTTCTGATGTTTTTCCTTTTAATACAGTACAGCACAGGTACATGTCAGCATAAACTTGAAGATTCAAGTACATTTGGTTCAATATCTAGATCACATAAGAGGGTTACTGCAGGCAAAGTGATTATAGTGGAGAAGAACAGAGAAGTAAGGAGAAGGTGTGCTTCTAAAATGACTGGTATTTACCTGGAATATGAAAAGGAATGGCAACAATCTCTTCTCTTTCTGCTTATCATATGACTCAATCAAAAACAGGCCATAAGAAAGTAGGGTCATGAAGAATGGGAAAATTGGTATCCTCTTAGTTTTTTCCAAACAGGTTTTCAGACACATATACTTGCCCTCTATCGATTTTTAGGGATGCTTTGAGTCCTACATTAACTCAGTAATTCTGACTTCAGGAAAAATTCTGGCTTCACTATCATCACCACAGCAACATTTCTGCAACCCATCAGAAGCTTTAGATACTCACAGCTGTCCTCTACCTGATCACTCAAAAAATAATATTGTGTTTATGTATTGAATTGACTACTAGCAAATACCGACAGATCCCATACAAGCAAACCCCTGCTGTGTTCAATCACTGATATTATTCTATAGCTGTCTCCTAAAGGACAGTAGTTGCAGAGTTGTAACCCCACCTTCAAAAGCAAACTTTCATATCTACTATATTAATTAGAAAGAAGATATTTATTATATTCCACTGTAATTCCCCATCATCTTATCATAAATCAATCAGGAAAAAAGCTTTCCCTTAGAATTTTAACACTTCTGAGCTCCCACTCTTTATGACCTGTCATTCTGGAGGATATGTGCCCTTGTGCCAGCATTTCATTTGTCTTACCCTTTGCTCCATTCTCTTATTTTCTAATGTGTTTAATCTTTGCATTTCACCTACTCTTTATAAAAATTGCAATGTCTGCACTAAAATAAGAAATCTAGGACCATGGAACAAGTTTCCTCAGGAAGCACTTTCCACTCCAGAATCAAGTGTGTTTCCTCACACTTGTCTTCTCTCAGAGACACACAGTAATTAAGTTTGAATTCAACACTAAAGACAGAAGATAGCCTAACAAATACATTCTGGGGAAAAGCTGAACAGAGCATTGCAAGTCCGTCTGCTCACTGCTAATCCCAGATACTGATGTGATGGCTGCAGAGTGAGAGCCTATAAAAAAATAACTAGGAAGGCATCTGTTCTGGATGAGCTTCAAAAAGGACACTCTTCCTCATCACTGACGCAATTTAAGGGGCTTACAAAAAGCTGGACAATATTATACAAAAAATCTTCTAATGTCTAGCCTATCACTGGTCTATTTTTACATTACTTAAAATGTATATCTACTGGCAAGTTAGAAACTCTCACCTTGCTGTCCTTTGGGACCTGGAAGTCCTGGGAATCCTTTGAGACCAACTGGTCCTACAGGGCCAGGCAAACCAGGATCCCCTTTAACAAGCTGAAAAGGACCAGGTGGGCCTGGTGGGCCTTGTAAACCTGTGGAAGTTAACAGAGGAAATCAGCATGTATTAAATATTGTACAATAAACCAAACCAAACCAAAACAACAACAACAAAACAACAACACCTCAAAACAATGTTACCTTGTATTGCCATTTATGTAGTCAAAGACTAGAACCTATAGCTACAAGATATCAGTCTGTTCTAGACTTTGTTTGTGAATTAAACTGCAAGGCTTCCCAAACAGAAGCCTATCTATGCTGGTATCTCCAGCCAAATAGACCTCCCACGGACTGAAATAGCTTTCCAGACCTTAGGTTGCATGGAGTTTTCCCAGCAGTTTGTAAATGGCATGAAACTGAGCCATGTAGCCATAGAATTATAGAATCATACAATCAGTTGGGTTGGAAGGGACCTCCGAGATCATTAAGCCCAACCCTTGATTCAACACCACCATGGTTACTAGACCATAGCACTAAGTGCCACATCCAGTCTTATCTTAAAAACCTCCAGGGACAGAGAATCCACCATCTCCCTGGGCAGTCCATTCCAATGCCTGATTACCCTCCTGTAAAGAACTTCTTTCTAATATCTAACCTAAACTTCCCCTGGCACAGCTTAAGACCTGGGAGAAGAGACCAACCCCCACCTGGCTACAACATCCAGTCAAGGAGTTGTAGAGTGATGAGGTCTCCCCTGAGCCTTCTCTTCTCCAGGCTGAACAACCCCAGCTCCCTCAGCCTCTCCTCATAGGACTTGTGCTCCTGTCCCTTCACCAGCCTTGTTGCTCTTCTCTGGACCTGCTCCAGCACCTCAATATCCTTCCTGAACTGAGGGGACCAGAACCGAACACTACTCCAGGTGTGGCCTCACCAGCACTGAGTACTGAGTACAGGGGAAGAATCACTTCCCTGGTCCTGCTGGCCACACTGTTCCTGATCCAGGCCAGGATGCCATTGGCCTTCTTGGCCACCTGGGCACACTGCTGGCTCATGTTCAGCTTCCTGTCAATCCAAACTCCCAGGTCCCTCTCTGTCTGGCTGCTCTCCAGCCACTCTGTCCCCAGCCTGTAGTGCTGCAGGGGGTTGTTGTGGCCAAAGTGCAGGACCCGGTACCTGGCCTTGTTGAACTTCATCCCATTGGAATCAGCCCTACTCTCCAGCCTATCCAGGTCCCTCTGCAGAGCCCTCCTGCCTTCCAGCTGATTGACAGTCCCCCCCAACTTAGTGTCATCTGAAAATTTGCTAATGGTATACTCAATCCTCTCATCTAAATCATCAATAAAGATATTAAATAGAACCAGGCCCAACACTGATCCCTGGGGGACACCACTAGTGATCAATGGCCAACTGGATGCAACACCATTCACTACCACCCTCTGGGCCCGGCCCTCCAGCCAGTTTCTAACCCAGCAGAGAGTGCTCCTGTCAATATGCTGGAGGGAAGGGATGCCATCCAGAGGGACCTTGACAGTATTGACAAGTGGGCCAATGGGAACCTCATGAAGTTCAACAAGGTCAAGTGCAAGGTCCTACACATGGGTTGGGGCAATCCCCAATATCAGTACAGACTGAGGAATGAATGGATGGAAAGCAGCGCTGCAGAGAAGGAGTTGAGAACAGAGGTAGATGAAAAATTGGACACGAGCCGGCAATGTTCACTTGCAGCCCAGAAAGCCAATTCGGTTCTGGGCTACATGAAAAGAAGTGTAGCTAGCCAGTCCAGGGAGGTAATTCTACCCCTCTGCTCTGTTCTTGTAAGACCCCACCTGAAGTACTATATGTAGCTCTGGGGTCCCCTGTACAAGAAAGGCATTTACCTCTTAGAGTAGGTCCAGAGGAAGGCCATGAAAATGATCAGAGGGGTGGAACAGATCTACGAAGACAGGTTGAAAGAGTTGGGCTTGTTCAGCCTGGAGAAGAGAAGGCCCCAGGAAGACCTCACTGTGGCCTTTCAGTATCTAAAAGGGGCTTATAAGAAAGACTGAGAGAGTTTTTTTACCAGGGTCAGGAGTGACAGCACAAGAGGCAACAGTTTAAAACAGAAAGAGTGTAAATTTAGATTGGACTTAAGGAGGACATTTTTTTATTTTGAGGGTGGTGAGGCACTGGAACAGGTTGCCCAGAGAAGCTACAGATGTTCTATCCCTGGAAGCATTTAAGGCCAGGTTGGATGGGGCTCTGAGCAAGTTGGTCTAGTGAAAGATGTCCCCTCCCAAGGCAGATGGATTGGAATTAGATGATCTTTAAAGCCCCCTCTAACACAAATCATTCTAAGAATCTATGGTTCTAGGATATTATTTAAAGATTCTAATAATGACAATACATCAGTATTCATTTTTCAGAGCAGGAGATAAATACATTCACTCTCTAACCAATATTTAAATCTAATCTGATTATTCAGATGCTGATACCATGATATCTGTTTTCATATTCTATCTTTTTACACAGAATAAAAGGATGAAGGAGATATCAACTGAATCATCACAAATAACAATTTTGCCAACAACATCTGGGAATAAAGAGCAAGTTTTTATATTATACCTTTAGATCCAGGAAGACCTTGGTCACCTCTCTCACCCTTAAGGCCTGGGAAGCCAGGAGATCCTTTTGGACCTGAAGTAAAAGTAATATTTACATGAAAATTCAGTAATTTCTTGATTTGGAAGGATATGTGCAAAATAATCATGTATGGTCCCATGATCCTGTAAAGGATGTGACCTTATTTGCACTAGTACTTTTTAACTGTTTGCGGGAACACAGTAAAAACAACTGCAGTAAGTCACCAATGAAATTATGACTGAAACCAAATTTCTCTTACTTTTTCTCTTACTTTTCTTCAAAATTCTCTTATTTTAATAATAAACTTCTATAAATTATAAGCATTATGTTTTTTCTATTAATTATTTTTTATACACATGGTGTAATCATGCATATGATGGTGACAGTAGCAGCAATATAATCAACAAATGAGACATTCTGAGCCCATGTTTCCTCATATATAGCTATAACATTTGCCTATTCAATTCTCAAGAAAATCCTGAAGATTCTTGACTAGTAATATCTAACAATTGATTTTACATCTGCTTTTAAAGGAAGTGCACATTTAAAATTTGCAAAGCAAGAACAAGCAAAAGGCAAAAAACCTTGAGAAAAATCTCAAAGTTCTTGTATGCTTTCTGATGCAGTTTTCAATGTCCTGTTTCAGTACTTTGTAACAGAGAGTCAACATTCTTTGAGCATCTCTTTTGAGAGAGGAAGTATATGAAAGAAACATTTTTGCATACTTTTTAGGAGTATGGTAAGTTTTCTTCTCACCTGGAACACCTGGAACTCCTGGAGGTCCAAGATCACCCTTTGGACCAATATCTCCTGGTAAACCAGGACTACCCTGCATAAAAGAAAATGTGAAGCATAGTTATCCTACACTATTATGATATGACTCTCAAATAGGCTGTCTATTTTTGGAAACCTATGAAAAAAACCATAACATGAAGAAAATGTTAAGTTTAAGGAATGGTTATTCTCTCCCATGTTTAGATGAGATGCCTCTCCTAAAGGAACAAGTGTGACACCTTGTTCTTACTAAACTACCTTTTGTCTTACAAAGATACCAGATCAGAATAAGGTCCCACTAGCAGCATAGCTAATAAAAAGGTTCTCAACCATAGACCATATTCTTATGAAAGATATCAGTAAACACAAATCTCAGCAAACACTAATTTCAGTGCAGTCCCAGCAGACAGCTGCTATTTAGATAATTAAATGGGGTAATTCTAGACCACAGCAGACTTGAAAACTTCTACATTCACACATGGAGTGAAATTAAATGTGCTCAACAACTTACAATCCTCTGAAGATTTTTACTTTTCAACAGGCCTAAAATATTCAAGAACTTAAAACACTTCAAACACAATGTGAACTCCTCCATCCTAAGCTGTTCCCCTGAAATTAACGGTAACAACTTCCCTGTAGCCTCACTTCAGGGAAAATCAAGCCCATATTTCAAAAGACACTGTAAATAGTTATTCAAATGACTGCTAATTTCCTTCTCTTTTTTTGTCCGTTGCAGATCATCTGCAAAAACCTTGTAAATACAGCTTAGAGTTTCTCCCTGGCTGAAGTAATATGGTAGTGATAGTCTACTATATAATAAAATGTGGAACACGGGCAGAGGAAAAAATAAAATCCCTTTGCTAAGTAATCTACCAATCAGAGACTGGAGATGTGAATTGAATGTTTAGTGAAAAATAATACCAATACCAGGATGCATCTTATCATACTTGCAGAGCAATAGAATAGGCACACAGGAGCGACTTTTCATTTAATGCAGGTTAGATGCTGATATTAAGGTGAGAAGAATGGTTCCCTACAAATGTCTGATTCTTTCCACTGACTATAAAGGGAGAAGAGATGACTAGTTCAAAAATGGGTGTCAACGCTCCCAAAGTTAAATAAAAGAAATGCTACCCTCAATAGAGTGCTAAGGGTTGCACGAATGAAGAAAGATTCCCTGGTTTCCTTCAGTCACAGTATGCAGGATTGTTTAAAGAAATGGCCATCTCTTTGTATCAACAGGAGAGTTAACATTCACTCAGTCATGAGTCAATCATACTAAAAGAGGGGTTTTTAAAAAAATTGTTTTACCTTATAATTATAAAATGGATTTATAAGAGGAATTTATTGGAAATTTTCCATCAAAATACTTTTTCCACAATAGTATGCATTTCTTAAATTTTTTTTTTCCTCATCAGATATAGCTTGGCAAACAAAATTTTTGGATGTGTTCCAAACAGAACAAAACTATTTCAGTTTGTGAAAATGATGAAAATGTTTCTTCTCTCATTTCAACATTAAAACAAAGAGAAAAAAGTCGTGGGATTTGCATTTCACAGTCTAACTTCTGCAGTCACTTCTTTTGAATAGGATTTTTGGACAGGCTGTGTCACCCATATAGTAACAAAATCTCTCTTCTGATACAGGCTACTGGAGACCTGTGTGAGCAATTGAGCTGTAATCAGTGCAGGAGCCTGTCACACTGGGGAAGATGAAGACATTAGAAACTCATCTTAGTATGTATCACCAGAGGAAGTTAAATATTTAATATCATTCTCACTGCAGCATTTCACACCGAGTTAACAACCTGCTATTATGCATTGTGGCTCAAGTATAGTAAAACATTTTCTTCTGACTGAAGGCATGGAATCAAAATCCTTAGGCACTTCCCATTCCTGATAAACCAACAGTCTTGGACTGAATATCAACCTGTGAAAAGCTTTACAATTTCCTAGGGCATAAAATGTTAGCTTTCTGCAGAAGTACTGCAAATTCTTAAACAAGAGAAAATACACTGGAATGTTATTTTGGAATTTACTACCTTCAAAGCTGGTATTGTATGCTACAATATGGTATGAAATATAAAAAGGTCTGGACACTGATGCAAATGTCTCTGTGAAGTGACTCCTGGATGCAGAAAAAGATGCAGTAGATCTTTGCATTATCAAGGATAATGTGGACCTTTAAAGACTTGATTTTCATATCAGGACCTAATTCCTGAGTCTTTCTTCCTTTTGTACACTAGGAATTGTTGAGTCATACCTACCTACTTTCTTAACTCTTTTTCCATAAATATTATTATTATTGTTATTATTGTCTTTTTTTTAAAGTATAATCATTAAGGTTGGAAAAGACTTCAAAGATCATCAAGCCCAATCTTTTTTAACCCAACACTGCTATGTTTACCACTAAACCAAAAACTTCAGTGCTATATCCACACATTTTTTTGAACACTTCCAGGGATGGTGATTCCAGGGATGGTGATTCCACTACTTCCCTGGGTTCCTTGTCTCAGTGCTTAATCAGCCTTTCAGTGAAGAAATTTTTCCTAATATCCAACCTAAATCTCCCCTGGCACAACTTGAGACTATTTCCTCTTGTCCTGTCACATGTTACAAGGAAGAAGAGGACGACCCACACCTGTCTACAACCTCCTTTCAGGTAGGTAGTTGTAGAGAGTGATAAGGTCTCCCCTGAGCCTCCTTTTCTTCAAGCTAAACAATCCCAGTTCCCAGTGTAGTAGAAAAGAGAAAATAAAAAGTTGAAAAATAGAGTATATTTTTCAATGTGGTGAAAGGCATCAGACACTCCAAGAGAAAGAGCATAGAAGACCAATTATTCTAGGTGACTGTCCTGTTCTATTTCATTCTCCCTAATATCCAGAAAAGGGACTATTTTAGGTCAGGGGAAATGAATAATATATGACAACAATGTATTAATAGCATTGCCTGTTTGTATTTCTAAATCAGAGGCGATATTTCATCATTCACAGTAGTGAATGTGCACTTTATTGAAAGCTTTCATAACAAAAGCAAACAGTTCAGGTATTTTCAGAAGGCAATTTATCACGAAATATGCAACCTTTAAAATTAACTACTAACATATTTTCAGAATTTATGGATGTGTTGCAGCCATCCTGTACTCTTAAAACACTGTAAATTTTATTTTGGGTGCTGTATGTTACCACTCACTATCTATAAATTTCTAATACGTTCATTAGCTTACTGGAACTTATCAGTAGGCAGCCTTTCTAAGGAGAGAAATGAAATGTTTTCAAACTGACTTTACATTGTCAGCAGTAAGTCCAAAGGCACACTGAACATAAAGTATCATTACTTTGAACAAGAAACTATATAATTAATATATCCATTAATTACAAGAACCAACTTTCAGCAAATCTGGAGTGTACTTACTGGCAGTCCCTGGAAACCTGGATCACCTTTGATTCCTGGCCCCCCAGGAGTCCCTGGCCAGCCATTGCTTCCCTGCTCTCCTTTGGCCCCTTTCTGACCTGGAGGTCCAGGTGGCCCTGATGGACCTGGTAAACCTACAAACCAGAAGAGAGTATTTAGCAGCAAAATTTGTGCAGAGCACAAACTGCCTATAAAGAGGAGCTTTTCTCTGACCTGTGAGAAGAAGAAAAACAAGGATATGCAATATTGATTAAATTATTAATTAATTAGGTGAGCTTTGATGAACATCAGTACATTAATACTAAAGATAAAGAATTACCTGGAAGACCTGGTTGGCCTTGGGGTCCTCTGTCTCCTTTAGGGCCCTCAATTGCACTTCCTGGTAGTCCAGGGAGACCTTGGCTGCCCTTAGGGCCTGGTGGACCTACATATCCTGGTTCTCCTTTCAGTCCTGGAATCCCCGGACTTCCTGGGGATCCTGGAAAACCCACTTCACCTTTTGCACCTAAGATTTGAAACAGCCACAGAATGTGATTAGAAAAAAGACCACAATGACTGAAATCTTCTGCTTTACTATCCACTCATAGTAAGTTTTATTCCTAATCAAAACATTGATTTTATACATTTCAATAAAAATGCAAAACTTTAGAAAAACTGTATTATTCTCCACATTATGATATAAAGTATGAGGAAAGTAGTTTGACTGACGTACCTTTCCTTATCTAAAATAACCACTAGGTTATTTTAAGTCAACATTGTCTCTCAGCATTTCTCTATCACTCCTTACACAAGGATTATAAAGCCCCCAAACCCTTACTGCATTACAATTATTATTGTCATAGTCAAGTAAGGGACTAAGCACAAAAAGACTTGCTCATGGAGAAAAATGGAATACTTTTTTCTTTAAGATCTAGATTTAGACATTTAGCACTTACTTTCAGGCTTGTGCAAATACTTAACAATTGCAATTCAATCTAATTTTAGATCATGATTGAGCAAAAAGAGTATAGAATAGCTGGTGTAAGTACAATAATAAGAGAAATAAAATTTATAAAGAACACTATCCCTAGCCCTTTTCCTGAGCAGAACAAAGTTTTTAAATACTGGACTTGTTTCTTTGGAACTATAATGCATTTGGAACACAAATTATGTCAGCTGAATATATATTTACTCTAAACCCAGATCTTTTTAAATGAGGTAACATAATGAGAGATATAGGTAGGATGAGAAAACTGTTGTCATAATCTAGCATTCTACATGCCCTACTGAGTTATGATTAGAAAATTTGTTTATTTTATTAAGTTCTCTAACATTAGGGCTTTCTCAGCAATTCATGAATGCTAATTAGTCTAATACAGTAAATGAAATATATTCTAAAATTCTGATTTATCACTTTTGATTGCCCAGACAAGTTTCCTGTATTTATAGAATGAATGAGTAAGGTAGGGCATTGATATTTAAAGCTATATAAGTTCTTCAAAATCTGCCATGTCATGTTAATTGCATAGACGGAGTAGTTGAATCATTTGTGTTTTCTGGATGGCTAAAATTGAAAATCCTGTAACAATTTCCTTTAACAGGTACAGCTTCATATTTCTTCACTACTGTATCTATTGCAGTCTAGTGCCTCAGAGATACTTATTTCATAAAATGGAGCATGGTGCATTACAGACACCTTGAACAAGCACTGACTCAAGTCAATCAAGCTGTTGTCACAGCACAGTGTAGTGACCTGAAACTGTGATAGCTTTGTGCCTGTACCTAATAAGCTAATAAGTCCTGAGTCCAAGTAATAACAATTTCCAGTAAGATCTCATCAGGTCTTTGCTATCTTTTGCATCTCTGCACCATGCTCCTGTGCATAGCTTAGACATGCTCTACTGAGCTATAGAAAATAACTATTTTGGCAATTAATAAATCTGGGCTGCAAAACAGATTCAGGAAAAAAATTACTACAGTATCCTGGCCACTAAACTACTATCTATAGCTGTCTGGTGCACAGAGCCTCACTAGATTCTGATTCTTGCAGAATTAGTAGCAAAACAGAAATACTTGGGGTCAAAAGCACAGCACACAAATACAGGTGTTATTTATATTACCTCATCACAGCACAGCTTGCAGTAAATTCCACACTATGAATAATTACCTATTTTAGGGCATATCTAACTCATGTTCCAAGATGTTGCCACTGTAATAGAAATTAGTATTTGAGCCTCTCAGAGCTTCTGCTTGCTCTGAGAAGGTATAGCATGTAAAAGAATGAAGTAGAAAGTATGTCTGCATTACAGAGTTATGGCTACAGTATGTTGGGAGGGAGGTTTGCCTCTTGTTTAAATAAGTGTTTTACCTTTATCTCCCTTTGCACCAGGAAATCCGGGAAGTCCTCTACCTGGAAGACCTGCAGTACAGAAACAGCGAGAAATTAGAAGATGGGAAAGTACTTAAATTTAACCTGTAATGAATAAAAGTCTATTAAGCAAATAAAAACTTCAAATAAATGGCTTATGCAAAAGTTCTTCAGGGCAGAGGCTGTTTTTGTTATGTGTTGGTATTGTATTCAGCACAATGGGTCCTGTATGACTGAAAACCCTACCCTAAATAAAGGCAAGACTGCTCCACTATTTCACAGCTAAGTTGCAGGCTGAAATTAATGCCAAAACACAATTCTTTAAAGTACTGCCAGCTTTTTGAAAGAAATTCTTCCAAGACTACATTGATTAAACACATTTGCTCATCTAAATGATCAGCTTTACAATGATGGATGACAGTAAGTAGTTTGCAAGACACCATACTAACTTTATTTTCTAAGGTTTCATCCAAAGTACTTCTAACCCAGCACATACCTCTACCAACTACTCTTGTGTAGCCTGTCTCTGTGCTTTTTCATGCCACATAAACTTAAGATGACAGTCACAGTACCTTGTTCACCCTTTGCACCAGCTGCACCTGGAATTCCATCATAACCTGGTTCACCCTTCTGACCAATGGAACCAGCAGGACCCGGAGCACCAGGTTCACCTGAAAAATCATTGACATTTTCATTTCACCTATGAGTTTTTGTTTCCTCTAAAGAAAAACTTAACTTTTCCTTTTGCTCTGAGAGACCTAGCACACACTGCATGATGACTGAGACATGGCTCGAGTATTAAAGATTTTGACATAGCTAATTATCACAAATCTCAGTGAGCTTAGAATGAAGGAACTCCAGCAAAGACTTGTAAATAGCACAGTTTCCATTGTCCAATAAGATGATGTGTCCTGCAGCCAGAAAACTGAGAAGACTCCAAGATCAAAAATGTTATTATATTCTTAACAGCAATGGACTTACTCTCCTCCATACTCTATTTCCTCTTTAACATATGTGTGACAATGCTAATGTGGTGATTCAGTTTTGGACATATAGATCAGTTGTATTGTTTTTAAATTAATTCAGAAACAACAGAGCTAATGGCTATAGCAACAACCAGTCTTATGGAAGCTGGTAAAATCTTTTCCTCAAACAGTGTAAAAGAAGTATTAGCCCCCCCACTACACTGACTCAGATTTACCTTGGGAATGGCAGTCTTATTTTGTTTATGAAATTAATAAATGTACCATGAAATATCTGAACCAAAATGAATGTTGAATGCTACAGAATTTGTTTCAGCCACTGTCTGGAGGTGAACAATACTTTAAATAGCATTTGGTGTTTTATATTTCTTTTTTACCTGGTTCTCCTTTTAAACCTGGAATGCCACTTAAGCCAGGAAGTCCTTTTTCACCCTTTTCTCCATGGCGGCCGGGACTTCCTAAAGAAAGGAAGAAGACATGGGTTTACATGTGGGATATTCTGTATAAGTTTCACTTTAATTTTTCACTGCAATTTCTGTTTTATAAAAGTATAAACACTTGCCTGGAAATCCTGCCATGCCAGGGGATCCTTTGGGACCTGGGGCACCCGGCATTCCAGGAATTCCTGAACTACCCTTTTCACCCTTATCTCCAGATAAACCTGGACTACCCGTTCTTCCTGGTTCTCCCTAGAAGAAGTAGCACATATAAAATCCACACATTAATTCCGAAACAGTTTTTCCTTTTTGTAATAGTAGATGTCACCCCTCTTATCCATCTGACTTTTAAGGAATTCCATTCTTTTTCCATTTGGAAACAAAGTAATTTAGGATTTAATATGGCATTAAATTCCACTATGAGAGTTTTTAACTCTTCTAGCAATTGCTTAATACCTACATATGAAAATGAGCAGTTTTCTATGCATTTTTATGACTGTTATACAAAGTCTTTTCCAAATCAGCCTCTTAACTTACTTATTACACTTCATCATCTTAAAAAAAAATAATCTTTTTTTGAAGTCTTCAGCAAGTTTGCCACCATATTAATTAGTATTAATATTACAATTTTTACTTATAAATTCACAATAACTGTCATTATACAGCTAGAAAAAGGAATATGAAACACATGAGAATCCTTTCAGATACTATTAAATTAAACTTTATAGACAGTATTAATACAGTTCACTTTTCATTAATATCTGAGCATTGTATAGTTTTTTTCGGTTTCCCAGTATTTCTGCAAAAGTACAGCAATGTTATTTTTGTATGATTATTTGTTCTGTTTGTAAGATGCCCTTTTCACATTATTTGATTAGTGTTTTTAAAAGTTTTTCCCCTTCCCCCCACTTCTAGCACTCTGAAGAGAGAGAACAAATAAGAACCCTGAAGATAATGGTCCCATCAAACAGAATGCATCTAAACCTGGGCATATGCACACCTTTCAAGTTTCTCATAAGATACTTAAATTAGGATAATAGAAAATATAATAAAACAACTTGAAGGACAACTGCATCTTTTCAAATGAAGCGCTTGGTAGAGACAATTAAATCCTTAGGGGTATAAATACCTTCTCACCAGGAGACCCCGGAAATCCAATCCCAGGAAACCCTGGTGCACCCTTGTCTCCTTTTTCACCTTTTTGCCCGGGGAACCCTGGTGTGCCTGGTGAACCTGGTACTCCAGGAAGACCCTTTTCTCCAGGTGTTCCTAGGAAGAGAAAAGGAAAATGGGTGCATCAGAAGCAGAGTTGACAATGATTTTTCAGTGTTGCCTTAGCTATTCAGAGCTACAAAAGCAAGTAAATCAACTTCTGAGATTCACTCTCTAAATGGGACTGTTTATGGGATGATAAGCTCTCCTCATAAGAAAAGGTCATAATCTTGGATTCAGAGTAAACAGAGCTCTTGTGAAAAATATGATCTGAATAAAACTTTATTTGAATAATCTCTTACAGGACTACAGCAACAGACTCTTCTGTAGCATGTTCTTTTGTCCTCTTTCACCATCTCAGCCTTTTACCTTTGATTTCCTAAATATGCTAGACTCAAGGCCATCTGAAAGGAGACAAAATTTCCATGCCGAGATATAAGTTCTTCTCTATTTTATTCTTCACCAATCCCCTCCACAACAACACTCTTCCCAGATCACTACAGTTCATAATTAACATGCAGTATGCAGCGATTCACCAAACTTTTTAGAAGGAAGGAAATACACAAGCAACTTAATGCAGTTCACACAATAGCAGAGACAGAGACAGACAAACAGGCATCACTTGAAAAATTGTGTGCCTGAAACAAATATACAAATCCTAAATATCAAGCTAAGGTATTTGCATATAGAAACTTAGGAGACCATCCTATTATTTGTATATCACAATAGGATTGAAATGTAATGTTCCAAAAGCCTAAAATTCAGTCCCTGCAAATAGTGCAACAGTTTAGTAGATCAACAACAAATATTCCATACAGGTCTCCCGTAATGTCCTACATTAACTTGAGGAAAACAATAATAAGAAACTTCCAGCAATCAGTACCTGGCAAACCCATTTCACCAACCGATCCTTTTTGTCCTGGAACTCCTGGATCCCCTGGGTACCCTGGGGGGCCCTGATCACCTTTTGGTCCTATGGACAACAGAGAAATTAAGAGTCCCATTAGTTAGTAAGGTTTAAAATACCTGACAATTAGTCTCTCTGCTGTTATCTTCAGACATACCTGGTTGTCCTGGAGTACCAGGTTCACCATCCTTCCCTGGAATTCCTGGTTCTCCATAATCCCCACGTAGCCCTTTTTCTCCTGTTGCTCCATGGTCCCCTGGACATCAAGAAGACAAACATAGTGAGATAATTTTATCAAAATTTACTGTAATGACATATAATAATTCTTCCAGTTGATTTTTGATCACGGCTGCTTCTCGCTGATGAACAAGGAAATGGCTGAGAAAAACACAACTCTCCAATCACTAAACCAATACTGAGGAAAGGCTGCAAACTATCACCATTTTACAGGTGTCTGTGCAATTACAAAGCAAGTTACTGTCTGTTTGACCCAGATTAATGAGTTATTTGAGAAGTGGCACACTATATCAGGTGTTAACAGAAATTACTGATTTGACTGTTCAGCTCTCTAAAAAGGCACATGAGAACAGCTAGTTTGTAGCCAGAAATTTGCTGTTTTCCCTGTTCCATTTAATGTTAAAGCACCTTCACCATTCCAGAAGGTTTGACCTCTTATTCTGTGCTGAGTCTCTTCTCCAGCTTTAGGTCCACACTTTTTGGTCATAAACATTCCTGTTAGTGTTGCATATAGCTGCAGGAAAACAGGTTACTGAAGATAGCTCACTGAATGTTTTTAAATAAGTGGCTTTTATTAAAAACATTTCAAGATGTCCAAATCCAAATTTTTTCATTAAACATCACTGACAATATGCCACAAAAATGTTGTGTCTTCTCCACACAGTTTGTATTTTGGAAGCTTTTAAAAACATTACTGTGATATTCCTGTCTAGAGAAATGAAGGCAGCTAAAATATCAGAAAAGTTATGGAGTATAACTAGCTTACTTTTCTCTGCCGGTACTAAGTATCTTTGGGCTGAAGAGGACGATATAAGAGCAGAAATTTGCAGGCTGGAATCTACCCTCCCAGGCTGTGTGAGCCAGGCCAACATGTAGATCGTATGCGGTCAGAAAAAGGTAGGGCATACAAGTTTGCAAGCATGCATTATTAGAGCAGGAGAGATTAAGTTAGAAACCAAAGAAATCAACCATTTGAATTTCTCAGCAAAGGTTTCTTTATACATGTAACCAATGTGCCAAATTTACAATTCTGGAAATAAAATTAATTATCCTACACACCAATAGTAGACAAGAAAATATTGAAAAACAACCTGTGTGGATTTGCTATAAAACTTTACATACCAATATATATATCAAGATCAGAAACAAGTGAGACAAAATAATCTAGGTGAAATCTTTATAGGCTGGGAGCCTCTTTAAACACAAAATGCTCTTAGAAGCTGCATCTGAGCTTAAAGGCAGATGTACTCCACAGTTGCTCATGCCATTGCATGAGGTACTGTTTACCCACATGCCCAGGTTTCTCTGAGACCCAACTGGAACACATGAGCTCAGGTCTCATTCTGACAAGGAGTCAGGACATGGAGATAGGAGGTAGTTAGACTGGGAAACTCTCCTGTTTCCACAGTTCAAACACAACGTAGTACATTTATTGGTGATTCACGGCCAAACTGGAAAGGAGTCTCAAGTGCTCTGTCCTGGGCCCAACAGAGAACATACACTGATAAAATGTACAGATGACTCTGAACTGGAAAGTCTTGAAAAGAGGACAGAATTAGCTCTCTTCCTACTCTACACTTCTATTTTAACTAAGAAAGTTAACATTTATTAAAAACACGGTATTTTTTAATTAAAAATAATTTTAATAAGGACAAATACTAGAAATATATAAAATATACACTATTTTTCTTTGAAAAGAAAAGCAGGAAAGAGAATGATCCTAAACAACTGATTTTTCATGTAGCAGTAAAAATAAAAATCCAAGAAGAATGTGTTGTCTAAAAAAGCTAATAGCTCTACTACGATAAAGTTTCTGAAGAGACAACTGATTGCCTTTGTCCTGCTTATTTCCAGATCTTTCTGAACTGACATAAGTTAATCTCTTGGTATGAGTGGCATACATGTGTTTCTTTCCTGAATTTTCTTCTGGTCACAAAGAAATACGTTTGTCAAACAAGACTGCTCACTTTTTTTCTTACACTTATTAGTTAATTTTCATGGCCACAACAGGGCTTCCACTACATGTTTTACGTGAAAGACAGCTTTTCTTTTCTGGAAAGCTCTAGTTTTCACTTCTAAAATATATTTTCTTTTGAGAGTCTTCTTATAAAAGAGGTAAAATTGATTTTATAAGAGCAAACCCAACTTTTTCCATTCAACCAAAATCCCTTTGTTCTGTGATTATTCTTTGTTTCTATGGAATTGAAAAATACCAGAAAAATATCTGCATTTGCTGTGTGAAATTCTTCAATCTTATTTTAAAAACTGTTGTCTAAAACTAAGACAAAACTGAACTCAAAGTGCTGCTGGGCTCGACGATATATGTTAATTTCACTTATCCACAGTTAAAGACTAAAGTTACCTTTTTCTCCTTGTTCTCCCTTCTGGCCTTTGAGACTAACCATGTCCATGTTGTCTATCGTTCCAGGTTTTCCTGGGAGACCAGCTTCACCTTTATCTCCTTTGACACCAGGATCACCCTGAGGTCCGACTACACCTTTGAAACCTGGGCTACCTATAAAGGGACAGCACTGAATATTATAAAGGCATATAAAACTCTGCAAAAATACTTAGTAGACAACAACAAATTAAATTAGCTATTTATTCAAATTTTGAGCACCAAATACCATGCTCTGGAACATCTTCTATGAAGTTTTTCTTATACCAGGACTTTACAACAGCTCTATCAGAAAGTTGACATATTTTTCCCACTTCACAGCCATTAATTTTAGACTCTTGAAACAATAAGGACAAAAAATTGGCAGTAATACAGAGCATTATGTGAAGCGTTTAATTAAGATCTTCGTGCTGGCTTTTTATAATTTCAAAGACTGCATTTTTCTTGGAGTAATATCTATAGCATCCCCACACCTAGTAAACCCTTTCACTGTTTAAGACTGTATCAAAAATCATGTCTTGGTGCTCAAACACAACTGCTCCTAGAATATGGCTTTTTATAGTGTTTCTAACTTACAGGAAAGCTTAGCCCAAACATACTTCTTATATTTGCTTACTTCTAGACTTACCTTCTGTTCTGAAAAAGGTGGATTTTACAATTTTGATTTTGAGAAAATCGCTCTCTTACCTTTTTCACCAGGTAATCCTCGATCTCCAACTGGTCCAGGAGTTCCTGGCAATCCAGGAGTTCCCATAACTCCCATTTCTCCTTTGGGTCCTGAAGCCAAAGTGAAAGAGTGAATAACAGAAACAAAGCAAGCAGTGCAAAGAAGTGTTAGAAACAGAATTATTTACTGTCTATCATATTAAGATTTGCACTACTAAAGGAAAAATGGGACAAAGAAGATGATTAATCTAAAACAGCCTGACAGAGAAAACAACAGTAAAAATAGTGTTATGAAAACCAGAAAAAGCACAGTTTGTAATGACAAATTCTTAAAACTTCCTATTACAGCAAACAATGCTGTCATTAACAAAGGCATTATTAGAACCATACTCTGTCACTAAAACTGTGCAGAATAATCCCCTTTTATTATTACAGGCTAAAGGCTAGTTCATACAAGCTGCTGGATTTGATCCACTGAAGAACTTCAGTAGCAGTTCAGTCACATGTGCACAGAGTTGCTTTGCTGAGGTCAGTGTGTTTTCCCAAGCTTGGGCTCTTTGATGGATCAATTCCTCACCAAGTGAAAAGTTATGCTACCACAACTTAATAAAATAAAACAGTTGTCAAAGATGCAGGTTTCTGAAGGAAAAGATGTTTACCTGCCGATCCTTTCAGTCCAACAGCCCCTTGTGGACCTGGCAGGCCAGGTAACCCCACAGAGCCTGGTACCCCTGGTTGGCCCTGGCTACCTTTGTCCCCTTTTGGTCCTGGCATGTCTAGACCTGGGATACCAGGGAAGCCCCTTTCTCCTTTTACTCCAGGAAATCCTAGGAAAAACAGAAGATACAGAATTAGTCCTTAACAGAGAACAAGGAACACCATTAACAAGTATATCTGAGCATGTACACCTGTGGATCACAAATTACATGGCATGGAAAATGAAGATTCAAAGGCAGACAGCAGAACCAGTACCCATCCATTTTCTAAGAGAGGCTTTGAACTCACATCTATCACCCACCAATGACTCAAGGAGACCAAACCAAATGGCAGGCATCCTCTCAGGAGGCCTCGCCCCGCGTTTCAGACCAGATGGAGGACACCCACTGGCATGTGACCTCATCCACCCTCACCAACTTCATGTGACAAAACAGTTCATGAGCAACACTTTTACTAGTGTCAATATCCACTTATGCCAAAATTCTACTCCTAAGCATCATCGTGGCAGTATTTTTCTCTCACCTGGTGGTCCCTGGGGTCCCGGTTGCCCGGCAGGTCCTGGCAATCCTGGAGGGCCCAGCCCTGGTGCTCCTGGAGGTCCCTGCAAGCCTTGGAGACCTGGGAGGCCGGGGTCACCTGTGGGAAGACATGAGAGACATAGACTGAGCCTCCTCCAATGCTGTTTGACATCTTGTTTGCTGAAGATGCCAGACAAGATGCCTTGGAAGCATGTGGCCAACAGCTTCTAACACCTCCAGTCTGGGCTTGGAGAAAGGGCCTCTCTTTGCTGCTATCATTTGCTACTGGTGGATGGTAGGAGAAAACAAGGATAGGAAAATGGGCAATTCCTCAAGATATCAGTAGGATATTTCAGTGATGAATAGACTTTTTGCTGCATCTACAGGGGAGTGATTTTAAAAAGAAATAGAAATACAGAGCTGTATTTTTCTGGCAATGTTACCTCTGAATCCTTGCTGTCCAGGTATTCCCGGAAAGCCTTGCTCGCCACGTAAGCCAGGTAGTCCTGGACTTCCCTTTTCCCCAGGGATGCCAGCTGGGCCAGGAGGCCCTGGCAATCCCTTAGGGCCAGGGAGACCTATACCAGGTTCACCCTAGCCAAAGAAACACAATAGATTAGGAATCAATACATCAAAACCAGTATATCATTAACTAAATGTGTTTAAATCATGCAGTGTAGAGTTTTTGTATAAAGCTCTATATGTGACTTTAGGGAAGAGCTGTTATCCTTATAGCGTTAATGTCAAGCATTCATCCATCTACTCTGTTCCTCTGCGTGTACAGTGGGAAACATAAGATGAAAGATGGTTTGGCCAGTTTTTAAAGAGAAGGATCTTTGCACACATTCCTGTTAACATGGCCAGTCACAGATAACAGTATGAGCAGCTGGCATCTACCTTTTGACCTTGTAAACCTGGAACACCTGGCAAACCATCCAGGCCAGGGGTTCCTGGAGTTCCCGGCAGACCAGGTGAGCCAGGCTGACCTTGGAAACCTATAAAACAAAACAAAACAATACACACATCATTACTGTCTCTGCCTGTAAGTGACCTCTGCTGTTTCTTCAAGCTTCTAACTGAACTATTCACATCCTCACAGGGAGGTGTTAAAAAAGACCTGTGTAGCCTTTTATGTCAAACTTCTAGGGAAGCCAGGACTCAAATGTACCAACAAAGATTCAAACACTGAGCTTTGTGCAGCATTTGGTTTCTGATGAGAAACCACCACCCAGAAGAAATAAATGCTGAGTGTCTCCTCTTAAATGAATAGCCTTGTGGGTTCATCTCCCATCTTCCTTAGGAAAAATATCCAGTTTGCAAAACTGGGTTCCCAAAGTCTTCATCAGAAAAGATGATTTAATGTGTCGGCCATGAGACTGAGGGATGCACAAGAAAATCCGCCTGTGAATCAACACCTTTTTTTCAGTAGATATCTGGTGACATCTCCTACACATCCCACTGTGGGTTGCATGCAGAAGGTTTCTGTGCTGTAGTTGGCCCATGAACTGCACCTTGGGAATGCAGGATGGAATACTTACAACATTTTGCAAATCACTTAAAGATAGCACTCACTCAACACCAGCACACATTCAGTAAGTTCAGATGAAGCTTCTTGCACAGGCAAACATCTCAGGGAGTGGGAAATACAACTTTAAGGCTAAGCCCCAGTAAAGTCATTGGACAGAGCTGAGCTCATGAAAGGGTTTTTGAAACAAATGTATTTGATGTGCAATTCCTCTCTTGCTGGAATCAAAGTGCATACAGCAATTCTTTTCCAGATACAATGGGGTTTTTTTGTTCTGCATTGTTCCAATGCAGTCTCAGAGGAACTAGAGGTGGTTACAGGGAAAAATATGCCATTTCTCCTTATTAAGTTTCCAATCCTCCCAGCTCATTGGTGTGTGGAATCATAGCAAATAATGAAGACACACAAGAATTTTGGTGTTTGAGGTGGTTGCTGACAGTTCATTTAGTCCTAAATGAGCAGCACCACCATGAAATACATCTTAGAAAAATCCAAAACTAGAATATGAACATTTAGACTCCCTCTAAGTTACATGCATACCCTGTCAATGGCCATGGAAGGAAGACTAAACTTAATATTGAGTCAGCTGGAATCCTAGTCAAACCACTCTCAGCTGTTTGGGACACAGCAGAGCTGTTTTATGTCAGTATATTATTTTGACCAACCACACACAGTGTTTTCCATCTCTCAGAAGGGCCATCTCTCAACAACCTCTGTTGCTGCAATGTAAGATGCTATACTACATCATTTTCTATTCTGGCACCAGCTATGACTGTATCTGCACCACCTCACCGCACAAAGCAAGTGTACATCGAACGAATGCTCATTGTGGTGCTTGTTGGCTTTCACAAGGGAGGTTCTTCAGCTGCACCTCCCAGTTTGATGCAGCCATGGCTGGATGACAGCGTAGGCCTCCATCCATACTCCAGTTACACCAGCTTTGTTAGATGGATAATTTTATCTTACCTTTGGGACCTGGAGGTCCAGGAAATCCTATACCTGGCTGCCCAACAGCACCTTTTTCTCCTGGTAGGCCGGGTCTACCTGGAAGCCCAGGATTCCCTTTGTCACCTTTGCAAATGAAAACAAGACAAATGTAAATGCAAAGGCTAACTTTTCAGGAATAGAATCATTCTGATATCACTCAAAGATTAACAGACTGTTGTACCTTGGGGTCCAGGGAAACCAGGTGGCCCAGGAAGGCCATCTGCCCCAGGAGGTCCAGGGAGTGATACAGTTCGTCCTGCTTCACCCTTTGCTCCTGTTAATGTAAAGTTGTATTAAGTATAGGAACTGATGAAATTAAACAATGGAGTTTCACCTAGCCAGCAATATCAGTTCACCCATACCATTACAAGTGACTTGTTATGAAGGATTTTTTGTGTAAGATTCACCAGAAAACTAGGATGAACCTAAACCATTCCATTTGACCTAGAAAATTCTTCAAGAAAACTTGCCCTCAAAGATTTGCAATTATACTGTTGAAAGCAAACACAGATTTAAATTAGAAAGTCTTAAATTCTGGTGATCCTCTAAGCTGTACCACTTAAAGGGTACAATTTTTTAAAAATTTTTTTATATATCTTTTAAGCACACTATAGCATTACCTGGAAGGCCTGGTAAACCTGGGGTTCCAGCAAAGCCTCTGTCTCCTTTGTCACCAGGTAACCCTGCAGCACCTATCCCAGGAGGGCCAGGAAAACCTCTTTCACCACGTACTCCAGGGAATCCAGGCTGGCCAGGGGGACCACGTTCTCCTTTCAAGCCAGCTGTACCCTAATTTTTGGAAAGTGTAAGTGTACTTCTTGCCTGACTGGCAAGACAGAACACATCATCCTCTCTGAATATTTTGTAACTTGGATTTAGCATGGGTGTCTGTAATGTTGAAGAAAGCAGATTTTTTTACTGCTGAGCTCAATGGAAACAGAACTAGTTTCCACGTGGAATAGCACATGGAAATCACACCTAGTGTGTAATGCAGCTAACTGGACCATGTGCAACATGCTCTCAGTGGTGGATCTGGGAGCAGATGTGAGCTCCACACTCACATCCACATCCACATCCATATCAGCTGAACTCTATTAGTGCAGGATTTTGAAGCATTAGTTTCTACCAGGAGAAAAATACGCTAGAACAGACTTGAATCTTGTCTTAACAATCTCTACTTGGATAACTGCATTTGTTCAATCATCTCCAAGAGTCAGCCAGATCATTCACACTAGTACTCACTATCAAGCTGTGAGAAAGGGCGAAAGGAATAAAACTGTTGTCCACATCTACAAATTCACTCTATAGTCCTGAAGTAACAAGCCATGCTGAATGCATTTGAGTCAGATCACTTATTTGCATGACATGTAAAAAGAAATGGTCAAAATCTAACTCCGAAATAGTCTGTTGTTGAAGGACTGTCTTCCTCACTATTTCCAGTGAAAAAGAAATCTCTCTCTGAGGAAGAATGTACTACTCAAGGTAAGGACAAGATGTGGAAAAATGAATGAGGCCAATAAACATAAAGCATTATAGGGCACAAAAGCATGTGAATTCTGATCTGAAAGACGGAATGTATAGGACAGTATGTAAACATAAATAAACACACAGTAGGACAATATGTAAACATCAAGAAACAAACATACCGGTGCTCCTTTTGGACCCGGTGGACCTGGAAATCCATCTTTTCCTGGTCTTCCTTCTCTTCCAGGAATACCTGGTTGTCCTGGGAAACCAGGATCTCCTTTTTCACCTTTCAGGATAGTATCATAAGTAAAATCTCCAGGTTCTCCTTTTGCCCCAGGGCTGCCCATAAGTCCTGGAGTGCCGGGTGGCCCCTGAAATTTTATAAATTCAGATGTCATTAGTTGCTCTACAAACCCTTCAACTGATACAAAAGAAAACAAATATCCAGAAATTAAAGGGAAATATATCCCCAAATCAAGGGAACCACTAAGTTTTTGACTGAGGAGTCAAAAGAGAATATTTTCCAAGACATAGCAGTGTGAATCAGGAATTAATGCCAATCTTCTTGTCTTAACCACTTTGTCATCTCTTATATCACAGGTACATCATTTTAGATGGTACATATAAACTTACACCACTTACACAAGAACTGCAGGCCATGACATCAGAAAACTACTCTGAATTTTCTGTAGACTACTCACAGGATTTCGATCATGCATATTAATACAGTATCAACATCAAGGTAAATGAGACTTTTTTAAAAAGCATTTTCAGAGTTAAAGTGTCTGCCCCAACCTTTAAATGCTGAATTCTTTTAACACTGTGGAACCCCTTTCCCTGATACAAACGCAACAAAAGTATCCCTGCATTTTTATGAGAATTTCTAATACTAGCTGTCCTAGTTAGATCAGTCGGGACCAGTTCATCGCTGTGTGGGTGTAACTCAAACTGTGTATTCTACACCCTCTATGTCACTTCCCAGGAACTGTTAACAATAGACCATTTGCAGCAGCTGCCCAGAGCACACCTGACCCCTCAGGCTATAAAGCTGGGTGTTAAGAAGCCTGTGAGACAGGAGGATGTTCCTATCCTCACACCAATGACTCAGGTGTGATAACTCCCCTCTGGGAAGTCATTAACACCTCCACACCCAGCCTGAGGGGTCATGTCTGCTAATGGGCCACCAAGAATTCAAAAAATATCTGACGACTCACAATCACCCATTATGGAATGGGGGGAGGTACTGGGCATTCCCACTGCAACCTGTGTGTATATAATCTTAGGGTCTTGGGACTTCTGGGCCCACTTGTCGGATCCAGAGGAGGACCAGAACCTTGACCAGACTGCAATCACCACCCTCGACCAGACTGCAACCAGCACTCTCACCAACAAGTCTTCCTTCCCTTTTGCTTTGGACTCAGGGGGACCACGTGGGGCTCAGCATGAGGGCCAATGAACACCATTCTGTTCATGCCCCAGGGTGCAGGGTTATACATCTGGGTTTTGTGGGTTAAAACCAATTACTTGTCTGTATAACTGTATTTATTGTATTATTGTTATTAAATTGTAACTCTGACTCATAATCTCTTTTGAGTTGGGTTCATTTCTCCTGCCAGTTTACCTTTAAACCAGTACACTAGCAGAAGCAGTACTAATACAGGAAAAGAATACTATTCCAGTGTGAAAAAACCAAACTTAGTCAAAATTGCAGGTTTATACAAGGCCAAGCCATGATTTCATTTCTTTCAAAACCTTTTAAATCAACTATAATATTCATCAAATATATTGATTGTATGTAAAATTGAATTGATTATCTTATACAAAACTAAAACATTACTTACACAAGAGCTAAGGCTAATTGAAGGCTGAAAGCTTCTCCCCAGGTAGTTCATTCATGACATTCAGCTGATGCAAACACATGCTTTTCTTCATTATTAACATTCATTGATTTTGTACAACTGACAACCAGTAAGGTGGTACTATCAGAATATTATGCACATGCTCAGAAAATAGTTTTGTAAGCTCTCCTAGAAAGAAATTATCTACCTACTGATAAACCTATAGGATTTTCAGAATTTCAATTTTTCCCCTACATATTTTCTAGGGCTTATATGAACTTCTGCCATTGGAACAGCCTCTATAATTTCAAGTGAATCAGAGCTACTCACTAAGGTAGTAAAGCAAAAACTTCGCGGGTAATGTCCACTCCTTACAGTTGTCTGCTTTTCACTTATACCTGAACCAGAACATGGTCAATGGTAATCTTTTCATTAGTATTGGTGTGTTCTGGATCAGACTCTGATGCTTTGGCATGGCTTTAAACAGTATTAGCTTGCAAGCCTGGCTTCTCTGCAATTTCTCCAAGCTAAACTATATGCTGGATCACCACGTGGCTGAACTTTGTGAAGCAAAGCAAGCTTAAAAGAATTCAGAACAGCAGCCAGTCCTTGTCTGATTAAAGACACGAACAGAACTTAAGAGGCAATAAAAGTAAAATATAAGGGTGTGGCAAAACATGTGCTGAGAACTAATGCTAGACAACAAAAAAGCTTAAATACATTAGGATGCCTTTCATTTTTTTTCAGTTTCTTTCACTGATGTTACAGTAGATTCAGTCACTGGGTAATACAATGTTATTTGTTTGGTGGACATAGATAATGGACTCCATCTTAGTGAACTTTCATTGGCTGCATTCAGGCATCTAGGCTTTACTTATATTCAGTGGAGGGAAATAGATTCCTTGAATAACAAACTCATACAGGTGGGGTTTTTTAACTTCTGAAGGTGACCTCTCTCTCACAACTGGTGATGAAGGGAGCTTACATAATTCCAGTGTGTTTTAAAGCTAGTGCGCAAGAATGTCACTGAAAAATTATGTTGCCAAAAGGGATCAGCTGAAAGGAAAGAAATAGCTTTGGAGAGAAAAGGTCTGGCAAGACTCAGTCTACTCACACTAGGAACAGTGTCAAAACTCATGTTATACTACAGGAATGTATATGCTGAGGTAGGTTTGAACAGGAAACCACAGTGTACTTAGGGACACTCAAGTGGACTCTGACAAGATCAAATGTAGTTATGGCAGTACAGTGCTCATGTAGGATTAATTTGTGTTACATTTTAGACAAGTCTTATGCTTCTGGCTGTTCTGCTTCTGATATCTGGCCTTACTGAGAGTCATGTTGCTCTGCGTCAACATAATTTACAAGTAATCACATCAGGATGCTTTCACTGACTTCCTTCATTTCTTCAAAAGTACCTAGCTTTCCTCCAACTAATTGTGTTTTAGAGAATACTGCAGACATTTCCCAAAATCTTCATGAACAGCCTGGACAGAGGACTTGAAGGAATGCTAAGTTTGCCTATGACACTAAATGGAGAGGAGTTGTTGACTCCCTCAGGGGCAGAGAGGCCCTGCAGAGAGATCTCAACAAATCAGAGAGATGAGTAATCATCAACCATATGAAGTTTAACAACGGAAAGTGCCGGATTCTGCACCTGGGATGGAGCAACCCTGAATTTCTGCACAGACAAGAGAATGACAGGCTGGAGGGCAGCGCTGTGGAAAGGGACCTGGGTGTCCTAGTGGATGGCAAGCTGGATATGAGTCAGCAGTGCCGTGGCAGCCAGGAGGGCCAACCATGTCCTGGGGGGCATCAGCCAAAGCATCGCCAGCCAGTCAACGGAGGGGATTGTCTCATTCTGCTCCGCACTGGTGTGACCTCACCTTGAACATTGCGTGCAGTTTTGGGTGCCACAATATAAAGAAGACATTAAGCTACTGGAGGGTGTCCAGAGGAGGGCCATGAGGATGGTGAAGGGTCTGGAAAGGAAGCTGTATAAGGAGCAGCTGAGGTCACTTGGTTTGTTCAGCCTGAAGAAGAGGAGACCAAGGGGAGACCTCACTGGGGTCTTCAACATCCTCACAGGGGCAAGTGGAAAGACAGGTACCGATCTCTTCACTCTCTTGACCAGTGAAGAACCCAAGGAAATGGCATGAAGCTGAGTCAGGGAAGGTTTAGGTTAGATATCAGGAAAAGGGTTTTCAGCAAGATGGTCTTTGAGCATTGGAACAGGCTCCCCAAGGAAGTGGCCACAGCACCAAGCCTGACACAGTTCAAGAAGTATTTGGACAACACTCTCAGGCACATCATGTGATTCTTGGGGTGTCTTCTGCAGGGCCAGGAGTTGGGCTCTGTGGTCCTGATGAGCCCCTTCCAACTCTGCATATTCTATGACTCTATTACTCAACATTCAGAAAAACTGCCACAGCAGGCTGTATGCTAATATTAGATTGCTTACACTACACTAGATGGCACTGTCTCTCTCTCAATATATATGTAGTAAAACAGCTAAGAGTTATTGGAACAACCCACAAGAAGGACAGGGAATCTGCATCTGTTTCCTGTGAAATCCTACTCTTAACCCAACTCCGCTGCTTAGCTTGCTCAGACAGAAGGTTATGTGTTCCGCTGAGTTCCCATGATGAGCAAAACCAGAAATAAACAGCTCTTTTTTTTACTCTCATAATTCAACCCCACTGCTTCCTGCTTAATTTTATTAGGCATAGTTCATTTTATCATATTCTTGCACTGGTCTGTTTTTAAACAGAACTGTTTACTGATACATCGACTATCACGTGTTTTTTGATCACATTCCTAGTAAGACATAGTATTTGGCAAGGCATTACTTACAGGTACCCCTGGAAGTCCATCAAGTCCAGGTAAGCCTCTTTCTCCCTTGAAACCAGATTGACCTGGAAAACCTTATCAGAGAGACAAAAAATATAGTTTTATTTACTACATGCTTTTACAAATAGCTCATTGTATGTGAATTCTTTGTGACCCTGAAAGTGTCTCATTCCATCCCCAGTTATATCAACATAATGCTGCTAAAGTCAGTGAAGTTTTCTGGATTCATGTGCTCATGTGTTGCACATCAGCATTCATAAACTCAGAAGTTGATGTTTCATTTGACTTAGGAATGAATTCACCTTACTATTTAGACCTATCGTAACCAATGCAGTCTTCAAACTACCTAACTCATATTAATGTTTCAGAATAGCCACATTAGAACAAACATGAGGTATAATATATTTTTTTGCATGTGGCACTTCTCTCACACAGTACAAGAAAAATGATTTTTTTTTTTTAAGACACAGAATTTGATGCTGGAATTGGGAACGTATGTATGAGTCACTGTTAAGCCTGGGCACACAAGCAAATGGTTCCCACATTATTTTTCACTTTCACAAACATCTGTAAAAATATTTGGACCACAGCTTGCAAAGATTCTTCACTATGGCCAGTTTCTGCTTCCTTGGTAATTCTTGTTGATTGTTTTGGAAATTTGGAGTCAGGTCAAAAACAGGACCCCCCTTTCATTAGTTTCACTAACAATTTGATTAGTGGGACAGAAAGTAGTTAAATTTATCATGTATGCTGCATTTCCAAAATTTAGCCTATGTACCTCATTTTCAGGTAGTTACTAATTTTTTACCTGCTGGACCTGGTGGCCCTTGTGGTCCTGGAAGTCCAGGAGGTCCCACTTTATCACACAAGGTACAGGCTTCACCTTTGTCACCTGAAAAAAAGAAAACAACAAAGCAAATGAATAAAACCGAAAAGATTTAAGACAACAGCAAGCAGGCAGATTCAGGGGCAAATGTCAATTTATGACACTTCATGTGGAAAGAATAAAAATAAATGTGCTACTACTAATTATGTGCTTCAGAGATAATTTCTCGGCAAATCGATGTCCTCTAATTTTTTTAGAGTGGCATGAAAATCAACATAAGTCTTATCCTAGGGATAATATTTAACAGAACAGTTAAAAGGGACCAGGCTGAAAAGAATCAAAAATAAGAAAAGAAATATTCAGTGAGTAAGAGAGGAAATAAAAAGATTAAAGCAGCAAAAGGAGAACTTCTACAGTCAGTGTAATTTTGCACTTTTAGAAAAGCAGCAAGCAGAATGAGATTAGGAAGGATCAATCATCATGTAAATGAGCGCAGTTCATTTTTTTAAATGTCCATTTATTCAATGCTGCTAAAATACATGGTCGACAGTCCTATTTATAGGTGTTATAATTTTATCTTCAATTATATTCATGGCAATGATTCATAAACCATTTTCATTCCCAACTCATCTGCCTCTCTCTAATTCTTCATCTCAGAATTCACATCTTAAATTGCAATGAACAGCTCAATTTACACTTCATGGGGCTATACTCAACCCTTTTCTTCTTTCCAGCTCCTCTTTCAGCCCCATGTCATCCTTTATCTCTTCCTAGTAATGTGGAGGTTAAGTGAACTGTAATAGAAGTTTGTGTCACGCAACTCAATACACAATATTCTTCTTGTAGACTCAAGAAACGTATTCCATGTCCATGAACTATTTATTTAACTAACTTTAAGTATACTTTCTCTGGACCCAGTCTAATTGGCCCAGTCTCTTTACATACCCAAGCTCCAGGGTACTAATCATAAGAAAACAATCACATTAAAATATTATTACCTTTCTCTCCCATTTCTCCTGGAAATCCATCTCTTCCTGGGAGTCCAGGACTACCTGGTGCACCTGGTTCTCCCTGCTGGCACTGATCAATTCCATCTGCAATGGAAATAAAATAAAGAATATTGTTTTGACAAGTGCAAGTTTCCATTACAGGGTTGCATTTATGCAATGTCATAGCTGATATGTTACCTATGAAGAGTGATAAGTAAGGATAGCACTTTACTCTGTTATTTTATTTATTTTAAAAAATTTAACTCGGAGTCTGTATTCTGATTCCATATATAACGTTTAAGAAACCCTGAGAATTAGAGAGAAAAGACAGGCTCTGCCATAATAAGGTTACAAACAACTTTCACACAAAATCCATTTTCATTGTAAGCTTTGGCTAAGAAAAGTACTGTAGGTGAAAAACTGTTGTTTTGACCCTAAGGAGAATGGAGAGTATTGATGTTCTGAAGAAATTCATTAACTAGGGTTTTGGTACCCCAACTTCTGTTTTCAACATTTTAGGAAACTTTCTAGGTCAAGAACAGCTTGTTAACATCATTTAACTTCATCATGTCAGCTTCCTGAAAACAACAAACCTCATATGTTAGGAACTGAAATGGGTAACAAATAAGAATATTTTTCAGGCTTGATATGAGAATATAAATTATGCTTCTTCTGTTTGAGGATATGACACAGGTTCTGGCCCAATATAATATGACATCACTTTGGCCAAACCCAGTAGTCAAAATGTTAATGTGAAGTTTGGAAAACAATATCTGAAGGAAAACAAATTCTTTCGCATTATGCACTTGAAGAAAGCCAAAGAAGTATCTCAGGAAGGAAAAGAATTAATCAATGACTAAAACATGCTGCATGAAAATCAGAAATTGCTCTTATTTTTCAGATGAGGTAAGATTTAGCTATTTAATTCCATATTCTACATACTGGATTTTGTACTGCTTCATTGGCAAACACGGCAATAACCAGGTAGCATCTTCAACGGTTTTCAAACAAAGTATTTTTGGTTTAGCAATTCCATAGAGAATAGTATTTCTTTCAATAGCTTTAAGGTACCTAAAGTATTGTAATAGGGATATAATTCTTGATGTTGAAATGGCAATTTAACTCACAATATCAGCATCACCTATAGCAAAAGTTTTATTTCCATAAAAGAGTTACAAACATCAGTTGTAAGGAGCTAATTATCATGGACCACTTCCACATGTACTTTTGTTATTGCTTCATTGCAGAAAAAAACAAAACATTTTTCTCTTTCAAATTGCTTTATCACAGTTTCATAAAACATAGCTGTGTAATGTTGTTATCATTACTACTAATATTATATTTGTCACATCTCTACTAGCTTTTCATTTACCTCTATAAAGCATGTGTTGATCCTGATCTGGTGGGTGGCATCCCTGCCTATACCAGGAGGGTTGGAACTAGATGGTCTTTAAGGTTCCTTCCAACCCAAGCTTTTCTATGACTGCATTATCCCCTAAGATAGTTTTATTTTACAATAAAAACTTCTGGCAGACTAGTTATCACACCTGTTCAGTTTGTTACAACGACTGATACTGCAGACTTGTGAATTGTGATATTGAAAAGCTATACTAAGAACAATATTAGCATCTGCTATTTTTTTAATTGGAAATCTACACATATTTCAAGGTTGGCACAATGGGATAGAATAATCATCATCATGGCTAGGCTTCACGAACGAAGATTTGGGAATAAACCAATATGTATTAAGGTCAATTGTTTGGTTATATTGGAACAGTTCACAGCGAACTCTGAAGAAATTTTAAAAACATTTATTTAGCAAAGAATCCTTGTCCCAGTAAGGAAACAAGTGGCCTCCTGCATTGTGGAACAGCTTTTACTTGGTCCATCAACAACTTAGGTATGTTTCTTCCACGACATGCATCCTGATTATAGCATTTATAATCTTGTCTCATTTTTTTTTATGGGCATTATTGAGACTTCATTGTGAAAAGCAAGGAAGGGCTTTACCCACCTGTTACACCTGGAGGTCCTGGTGGGCCAGGCAACCCTGGGGGACCTGGGAAACCATCTCTTCCAGGCGTTCCAGGTGAAGGGAATCCGGGAGAACCCTTTTCACCTTTTTCACCTCTCTCTCCAGGGACACCAGGTGATCCTACCCTGTCTGGAAGTGGTCGACCTTTGGAGACAGTAAAATGTATATGAAAAAGTGAAAAATGAAAAGACAACAACACTATCAACAGGTTAGCTTCCATGAGGTTTCAGAGAAAAAGAAAAAAGGGACTGTATTTTAATTACTGGTGATTTATACAAAATTGAGATTATATACTCACTACAGCTGAGTTACTCACTTCTGTTAGGTCTCTAGATAAACACATCTACTCTCTACCAAGTGCCTTCCTGAGATTTAGCTGAATTCACTTTTGCTGGATAGCAAATAGTGTCAGCACAGGAGTCACCTTAGCTATTACACCTAGAAACTATTACACACTTTGTTACTTCATAATAAACCAAAACTTAAACGTACCTAGAAAGGGAGAGCACATCTAATAACTCCAGTAAATAAGTAGTCAACAATGCAAGCAGATTTCAGGAACATTATAACCAAACAAAATAGTTTGTAGGAATAATAAGCAAACAACAGCCAGTAAAAACAAGCAGTTAAACAGAGAGAAAAAAACCTAAAGATCTCCTTTTAACTATTTGTACAGTCACACAGGTCTTCATATTGACTTATTTTAGTTCACAACTCATCACTAGACTTGATCACTAAACCATTTTGAATCTTCTGCAACACTGCAGGATGATATGAAAGTCACAGAAATCTCCATTTCTGTAGGGTAATGACAGACTAAGAGCTATAATTACAGCCTGCAGTATATAGCATCTCCACTCTAAACTGTGAAAAATTTCCTAGAAACTATCTGACCCTGGCTCACATTAATTTCTTATTTAGCTCACTGTCAAGATAGAAAATGAGAGTAAAGGAGGTAATAGTATCACTGCAGAATGTGCTAGAATTGGGTTTCCACGGATTATTTACTTAATTTTTAAAAATCAAATGTCATGGTTTACTTCAAACACTCATACGTATATACATAAAAGCAGTATCATCATGGATGGGAATATGTTAAGACTATGAAAAAGGCAAATTTTTCAGGTAAAAGAATTAACTTTTACTGATCAAGTGACATAGTCAAAAAAAAGAAGGAAGCCTTCAGGAATTATTTTGATCTAGTAAATATTGTTATTATTTCTCTCTGCAAACCTTATTTTATTATATTTATGCAAACACATATAGAGCTGAAGTGAGAGCAAAACAAATGATCTACATATGAGTATACATACTCAGGTATATACACACACACACACATACATATTCACATTTAACAACTCTTCTTGCCCAATGGAGCTATGCTCTCTGGGCTATCTCTGATGGACTGTGTACCCTACTTTTTCAATTTCAGCAGAAAGTTATCAGGGCTCTACAGAAAGAACAAGACTGGATCACATCAAAGACACAAGAAAAACTGAGGGTCTACAGGGATGATTAGACTGCTGGAGAAGTCATTGCTTGGGTGTTCGGTGAGGAGCAGCTAAGTAGAATATCTCTCAGGACCCCTCACCCAAGAAGAATACATTAAAAATGTGAAAAAATCAGTGGTCATAGTTTCATACCTGGAGGTCCTGGGATTCCTTGTGCACCAGGGAAACCTTTAGGAAGAGAAGTTTTCAATTAGGCAATGAATTCAGCAATGCCATTGAGAGCGAGCTTTTAGCCCATATTATTTAAATTCACATTCAAGCTATTATATTCTGAATGAAATTTGAAGTTAAATAATCTATACATATCTGCAAGCACTATATTCAGGGAAAAAACCCTGCTGTGTCCAAACTTCTCTAGTGATTTTTTTTAAATAGGCTAAAGTCTGTAATGGGGAAAAAGGGAAAGGGAATGCTTGATTTTCTGTTTACCGAAGACTTTTAAAAATTATGCAAATCAATCTTAAGATTAAAAATTGGCTACAGACTTTCATAAAGGAGTCTCAAGATTCTCTGCATTATTATCCTCTTTAAGTTTGTGTTGATTTCCATATTTCTTAAATAATCTCACTGGATTATTTAATTGCATTAAAAACAGATTCTAGTTTATCATTTTTTATCTATAACTGAAAGGCAGTTTTAGTTAAGATGAGAAGCAGAAGTGTCCTACAAGCTACTACAAAAGGTAAAAACCTGAAAGCAATTAAATAAATAACTGGAACATTACACTGTCATATAGAGCTCACAGACAGTACAAATTTAATTTCCTTTAGTAAGAAAACTAAAAGTATAACTTAATCAAAAAGACAAAACAAAATACATACCTTTTTCACCTTTTTGACCTTTCAGTCCAGGCAAGCCTGAAACTCCAGGGTCTCCTTTTTCACCAAAGGTATCTACTGGTCCAGCATCTATCATCTGAATCACAGGACAAAGACTAGGACACTAGAAATGTGCAACTGTGCCTTCATTTGTATCTCTCCCATCTTGATCTGATGGTACAGAGGCCATTTGGTTTTATAACAATTTTGAGCAGCTGTGGTTATATTTGCAATTTCAGTCATAATACAACAACTGCTGTGAGAGGGTTGTAGCTGCTGAGGAATTACCAGAGAAAATAAATATTTCCCATTCTACCAAAATTCCTTCATAGGAGGAGTCACAGGATTAAGTGGAAAGCTTTTATAGCATCTTCCTCAACAAGAATGATGCCAAAAAATCTCAACACGGTCTAAGCACTGGTTTGTATTACCTTTAATTTTAAAATACTATGTTCTGGCAATTTCTGCTACCATTGATCTGAGTATGATATGTAGGATACTAACATTTACAATAAAATATTCATGAAGCATGTACAATTTTTCAAATCAAATTAGCAAATATTGGGAATTTTTCCCCATGTTGGGGAAGCAGCACCATCAATGATCTATTTGTTGCTGACTAACCCCATTTTTTATTTGAAGTGTTAAAAAAAATTACAAACTGCTCTCCTGGTTTCTTCTTGTGCTTAGGGGCTGATTGCGCTCGGGGACTCACTGGACATGGTGAGTAATTGTATTGTGCATCACTTGTCTTTCTCAGGTTTTATTCCTCTCTCTCTTCTTTTTATCTCCCTTTTCATTATTATTATTACTAATATTACTAATATTAGTATTATTAACTTTATTTCAATTAATACTTAAGGCATGGGGTTTGCCTTTTTCCAATTCTCCTTCCCATCCCACCTCGGGTAGGGGTGGTGAGTGAACAAATGGCTGTGTGGTACTTAATTGTCAGCTGCAGTTAAACCACAACCAACTGCAAAGCTGACAGACTTAGTCTTTTGAACTCTCTTTTGGATATTTTATTGATTAACAATGCTTATAATTTTCATAGTCCAAAATGTTTGAAATTCATATTGTTCAAGACCTCCTTTCCCAAATTTCAAATATACTTTAAAAAACTGTATTCAGTTTTTTCCATTGAGAAAAAATAAGGATGTGACTGATGAGAATGAGATGAGAACATGCATAGTCTCTCTTTTTTCCCCTCATTGTTTGAGCACTTTCACAAAATTTAATTTTATTTTAGGTTTCAAATAAAACACAAATTTATTTTACTTACTCTTCCCGGAGGTCCTGGAAAACCTCGCTCCCCTTTGTCACCCTAAATCAAAATAGAATTTACATTTTAAATCCAGATCAGATTTTTTTTTTTCAACAGAATTGGATTTCCTCAACAAATGAACAATTCAATATAGGATCATACAACTTCCAAATGATAAGTACCTGGATCACTATAACAAGCAGTATTAGTAAATGGTTTGTTTGCAGACCTGTACTGGTTTGCACAATGTAAAAAAAAACTAGAGTTTTTAGGGAAGTACACTTGTACATATATTGGCTGGGCAAAGAGCTTGTGAAAATAAAGCCTGCATTAATCAATTCAAATAAGAGATCTAAATCAGGTATACCTACATTAACTTAATTTTAACTTCTCCTAGTGATGATGCAGCTTAGCAATTTAATATTGCTTTATGTGCAGTCATTGCTTTACTGCACATCTATCTTAACTCACTCTGTGTGAAGGGAATCAAAAGCTGCTACTACACACCTTTGTACCAGGTTCCCCAGGTCGTCCTGGAATCCCAAACCCACCAGGCAAACCCTGTGTGTAGAAGACAGTGAAACCAGAAGATAAAAATACAGATGGATCTTAGCCACGGCAGCATCAAAGCTTTAAAGTTTCAAACCAGACACTAATTCACTGAAAGCAACAACTTTAAGTAAATAATTCAGAAGGCTAGAAAATTTCAACCTGTTTTAATACACAGACAAATACATTTGTTTTGAATGCAAAAAACAGTACTGGAAATTCAGTAAAATACATACAGGTTCTCCTTTTGGTCCTGGTTCACCATCTTTTCCAGGCTTTCCCTGTAAAACACGAAGTTCCACTCTGCTTAAACAGACAACCACATAGACGACATTTCTAAATACTGTGGATGAAATACTAGAACAAAACAATCACTACTGCAGTGCATTAATCCAAGTGTGCTAATGCAGCTAACAGACCAGAGGATACAAAGCAGGCAAATTGTGAAAGCCTAGTTCTTATATTATCCAACACCCTACGAGACACCAAATTCAATAAAATCCTGCAAATCTATTACCAGACCCAGGAATAACACAGTGATTTCCCTGTCAAGGAGACTTCAAGACAAAATGTATCAACAGTACAAGAAACTGAAATCAGACCCAAAATCTTTCCCTTCACAGCAATCCCTTTCTATGTACATATACTCTTCAGCTTCACAAAACCTTTACTCATAGATATTAGGTAGTTCAGTTTCAGCAGAAGGCTTGGAGAGTATTAGGTCTTGTGGTAATCAGATCATGTGTTAATCTAGTGGTAAAAACCACTTTCCTTACATTGAAAGCTATAATTTCAAATCACATGGCAGATGACAAACTAGAATCCAAAGCTCCCTCCTCCAGAACAAAATTATTAATTATTAGACCACTCTGTTAACCTACAGAGAGGATTAGATTCCCTTGAAGTAATCAACAGATACGTGACAAATGACCTAGATGGACTAACCTACTTTTCAGCATTCCTTTCCTCTGCACCAGAAAAGGACTGGTATGTCGGCTTGTGGCCTAACCCACTGGAAGCTGGCTTTTATTTGGTGTCTCAATGCTTAGACTGTATGTGTAGCATAAGCAGTATGAATTTGTCCCATAAACTCAAGAAAATGTATATACTTAATACACAAAGTAACAGTGCATATAATTCAGTCTAAAAAGTAATCTCATCAGTTTAGGTCAAAAAAATTCTGTTTAAAACATTGCAACTGAAGGATAACGATACAACAAACATGAAAAGGCTGCCACCATTGAAATGTGCAATTATAGTGCCTTATAAAGAAGGGTTACAAGTAAGTTTTAATGACAAATTAAAACTATGATCTGCAAAGCCAAGAGAATCTTCAAATGTACTCTGTGATTGGAATTAATCATATGGTTTAATTCTATTTAACTAGAATATCAGATCTTAACATCTGCTCATCTTTCAAGCCTTATCCTAATTTCAGAAGTAGCTATAATTTCCTGAAGAATTATATATAAAATATCTTAGCAACTTTCTTCAGGGAAACAGAAACTGAAAAATAAACTTTTGAAAAGTTCAGATGCTCTAGTTTCCAAAGCCAACATCTCTCCATTCTTCCAGCTTCAAGTTCTCATTTACAGTAATAATAAAAATACATGTGATAGCAAAGATAATCCCACCAATATATCTTTACTGATAGGATAATAGAACATCTGACTTTGAAGTATAGTAGAAAGGGAGATTTTATCTTTTTCAGATTGAAGTACAATCCAATGCCTATAGAGGTGCTGGGCCTAACAGTTTAGGAAAACCCACAATTTGAGAAACTTATACTACTTTAGATGCATTTGAACGTAGAAAATGTACAATTTTGCTACCAGCTCAGCTATGAAAGATACTGTATGACTCATGCAGAAGCTGTATGGATGAGACTATATGATATAGGTCAGATTAGGCAAATGTAATAGACTTTATGGCCTCAAGTATCCAAAGTCAGGCTAGAAACCAGCAAGCAAAAGTATTTTAGTCACCTAAACTTTTTGCTCCATTCATTGTTTTTGTAAGGAACTGTACCTTTAGGCTAAGCATCAACCTTTGTTGATTGCATGTGAGAGTGTTTGAAATAAATTCAACATGTTCCATTTAGCTAAAGTCACTCCAAAAGAGTGATCTGTTTTGCTTTGCTTTTTCTTCTGTTCTGGAATGACTTAATTTTGCTTCAGTTGGGATCCATGGGAGTTTTGCCTTTGCCTTCAGCACCACAAGCTACTGTTGAGTGTCTTTAGTAATCTGAAACGTTACATACTAATATTACTGCATGTTATTACTACCTTCATTTCTACACCTGTCCTACAGCAAAACTTGCCTCTTTGAAATATACCAAATTTGCTGTTCAACTAATGGTTACTAAGTTTAATCAGCTCATGGAAACAATACAATAAAACTGCAATTATGGTATTGATAAAGTTGAGTATACTTACACGTGGACCAGGCTTTCCGGGTTCACCCTTTTCTCCTTTGAAGCCTGAACCTGGCAATCCCTGGAAAACAAATACTCACCAGATTAAAAATACTGTCAAATTCCAAAGTAAATTTACTTCTATCTAATAGCTGTAGAGATATTCAGTGCCATTATCGGATTCTTTACAATTTTTTATAGTAGCAAAAAAAACTACACAATACTCACTGGGATTCCCTGTTCACCCTTTTCACCTGGATCACCCTAATGAAATTATAAAAAAAAAGGTGGATTAGTAAACAAAACCTTAACCATTATTCATTTAGGTTGTAAATAATTCTTCGTACCAGCAAAAGCACATTTAATCCTGTTCTCCATTTCAAGAACTATGTCTAATAGTAGGATGTGCAAGAATTTTGACAAACACAAAATGTGAATCCATTAAGCTAGTTTACTTTACTAGTATATATTGCTTAGACTGTTTAATTCAATAATTGAAAAATTCATTAGCACTCAGATTTCATGAATGTGATTCTGTATATGAAAAGTCGAATATACTTAATTCAAACTTACTACTTACTTCAACCAATACTTACTACTTAATTCGAACTTTTAGAATATTTTTATAATATCCTGTGCTTATCAATCTTCCTTCCTCAGAAAGTCATCTGCTGCATGAATTACTTTTTTTATGTAATTACTGATGCATTTACCATTTATCATATATTTTTAGAGAGACTTCTAGAATGACCTTCAAAATTCATGCATGATGAAAAACAGGAAGAAATTTTTGAAAAATTTGCTCTAGGTGGATTCATATTTTTTTTCCTGTTTCACTTTTGTTTGCTAATTCCTACTGATCATATTTTAATGAAGAGTATAAGAAGTCATTTAACATTTAATCATTTAACATCTCACCTTTTCTCCCCTTATGATTTCACTCCCTTTTTCTTTCATGTGTGGTGCTGGTCCTGGAGGTCCTGGGGGGCCCCTTACTCCTTGTTCTCCCTGTCAACAGCAAATCCAGGACAGTCCATTGAAAACAGCATGACTCTGAGATCAAACATTATGAAGACCAATAACATTAAAGAGAACTGCCACTTGCTTTTAAAAACATAGCTGTGTTTTTAAAAAATTCTTATTTCAGCAAAACTAGTGAAAGGATTACATACATAGTTACAGACAGAGAAAGATCTCTTAATCTACTCTTAGGGATAGCTTGATCAACACTGAATATCAGGAACATATACAATTAATTACAACAATAGTACAAAAGTTTTTTAGTGATTACTTTAGGAAGAAGGAGATTAGGAGGAAAGAGGTCAGGTATAGAAAGTCAATGCCTAAACAGAAATGTTAGTCAAAGTTTATAGTGTTCCATCAGCTTTACAACTGCCCATAAAGGTCAACTTCGAGATGATAACTGTGGATCATACTTTTTTAGTATGTATGTGTCCATTGCAGGGTCAGAATCTCATCTCCTTATATAAAGCAAAAGCACTATCTTTTACAGTAAAACACCTCCCAAAAGGCTCAAATACATTTCTGTCAAGCAATAATGCACAGCAATACCATTAATCTTTTGCTAAAGACAAACCTGAGGAGTACAGAAAATCTCCACACACTTCTATGACCAACATTTTTCAGTAAATTTAATGATAACAACTTAATTTCCACTATGCATCATGTCACAAAAAATTCTATCCATTGGGAATATTGTGGCTCAAAATACATAAATAAGGTGGTAGATTAAAAAAACAAACCTACCTAAGTAATATAATTTACTTATACTCCAAAAACCCTCTGTCAACGACAGTCATGAGAAGTTTCTGGAGAAGTGCTCAAACATATTATGAATTTACTGAATAGCCCTTGACTTACTGCAGTTCTTGGCTCCTGGAAACACAACATAAGGCACTTTGGCCCAGACCTCTCAGTGTGAGAGGTGACAGATTAAACCTCACATGTATTACCTCCCATTTGATGCTGAGTAAGAGAATAAATGGGATCCTGGAGCACATCTTTTGGCTTAGATTCATTCAAAAGTAAACTCATCTGTGTGCTCTGAAACCTCTTCTGGGTTATGGCAAAACACAGTAAAAGGGGACAACTGAAAATTCTGCTTCAAATGTATACACTACCAAACCAAACTAAGGCAGACAGGCCCACAAGAGTCCTATGACAATGAATTATGGTCATTATGAACAGCATATTAAATCTCAACCCTTGGAATTAAATTGACTTCAAAAAAATCTCATGGTGAGTCCTAATATACAGAGTAAATGTTTCTGCCTATTTCAAATTGAAGTAGTTTTCCAGTCACAGCTGGAAAACAGGATAGTGACCTAAATCAGGTATAACATTAACAAATTCTGTGACTGTTCATGACTTTCATTCATTTAGGTGTAAGTTACAGATTTACTCAAGTCTTCCAAAAATTATAATGCTTATTTTCTCTGTTGATTGATTCCAACAGTTTTCTTTATTTAAAACATAGTATCAAAAATATTTCTACAGTTGTTCACTAGAAGTTTACAAGAGACCTACCTTTTCACCTTTGGGACCCTGAAAGCCCAAGCCCATGTAGCCCTGAAAATGTAAATTATACACACTTAGTCAAATTCTATCAGCAGTGCATACATGCATATATATACACATATGAAAGTATTTTATACATGTCAAACACTAAGAGAGAATATAAAAGACAGAATATATCTTTAGAATGCACGTGTGAAACAAATAAGTAAAGTCCTAACCTCCCTTTTTTTTTAGCCATCACAGCAACTTGTGACAAAAAATTGAAATTTATCAGATAATTTTACTGTCAATATACTCTTTTTCCCAACACTTTAGTGAAAATTTTTACATTTTAAAATGAATTCAAATAACCATAGAATGTTGTGATTACTACTGATTTCATCAAATGAGATAACAGAGCTAGAAAAATTTGAAAAAAAGTGTTAAAAATCTCTCTTTATGACGTCCATTAAGACATAGAAATAGATCTCCAAAAAAAAACAAAACACTCCTTTAGGATCACTAGTTTCCAGAGTTTGGGGAATTTGGTATGCCAAATAAATAAACAGATAGGCTTAATATTTATAATAATAAAGACTCTTACCTTCTCACCTGGGAGTCCTGGTGGCCCTGGGGGACCCTACAAGACAGTATATTTTAGCATGCACATACATACAGTACAGTAGGTGGAATAATGCCTTATTCTATGAAAAGAGTAAAAAGGAAAATCTTTTAATTAAACCAAGATAAAAAGTCTTTTTCTGTTACCATGCATAATTCTTAGAATAAAAACAACTTAGAATAAAAAATAACAACAAAGAGAATCTGTCTGCAATATCACATTAATTACCATAATAACAGAGGTTGATATCCTGCTTCCATGGTACTCCTTACTGCAGCTACCCATAAGAACAATCTCAGAAAACATTTGGGTTTAGGTCTGGCTGCTAGGTTTGTAGTTTATTTTTTATAAATTAAGCTGGGGAAGAGAAGACAGGAGGAATCACAATTAGTCTGTCCCCCACAAAAATACTCTCCAAGAGTGCAAGAATAGAGGATGACTGTAGGAGCAGCTGCTAATGAAAACCTATGTTGCCTAGTAATTTCTGCCATGGTAGAGTTCCGGAGGCTACACCACAGGTTATCTTTCCCAAATCTCAACCAAGACCTGATACACACACCTTCTAGAACATTCCTATAATAAAGCTCTAAAAGTAAAGTTCAAATCACCATGAGAGGAAACTTACTGGCTCTCCTGGAGGACCTTGTGGCCCCATTGGTCCCTGAAAACCCGAAGTTCCAGGTGGACCCTATGAAAAATTCAAATGGCATCATAAAAAAGTGATATTTGTTTCATAATTTCATGATACTGATTTCATTCTAGTTGAAACTCACTACTATTCAAACATCTTTTAGACTTACAGGTAGTCCAGGTTGGCCAGGAAACCCTTTATCACCTTTTAGCACACCAGAGGGTAAAAGACCAATCACTTCACCCGGGTCTCCCTATAATAAGAAAAGAAAAAGAATACTTGAACATCAATTCAAATACATTCAAAACCACTAATATTGAGATGAGAGGAAAGTTGGAGCTATGTCTTGAATCATTTGGAAAGCTGACTTTAAAAGAAATCACCTTACTTAAGACATATTACAAGTTAAAGCCTTAATTGCCAAACATGCTTTAAAGCCACTTAAAGAAATTCCAGTACCAAATCTTCCTTCCTACTTTCATTTCCTATATCATAATGGGTAGGCAGAATGATTTTTCTGTCAAATCTATCACTAATACAGTGTCACCACACAACTGGAGCATCTGACCTGGCTGCTAGGAGAAGTTGTAACCTCACAATCTCTTTCCCGGGCTGAGACCCTCATGCTTATACTTAGTTTTGACATAAAAGTCATTTTCTCAAAAAAAGGAATCTACTTAGTCCTACTTCAGAAAATTATTCTGATCATTATTCACTTTTTGTCTCTTTTTTGATAGTAAAAGATCCCATTTTTCCTGCATTTTTGTACAAAGTTGGAGTATTGTAAGTGGTTTTATTTCAGCAGTTGTGTACCTACGCATACACACCTAGGAAAGAAACATTCGAGTATTTAGTGTTTGTAGACTAAGTCAATTCTTTCCATGTAAGAGTAAGATATAACTTGTTATGACTTTGTCATGTCATAACAAATCCAAGATTACTTTTAGACTTATATTTAGCTTACAGTTCCAAATAACATCTGTTAATTTTAAAGAGCAAAAGCTCTCTGTTGTCATTCAATGCTTCATTTTCCAGTTCACAAAATGCACTCAATACCTAGTTAGTTAGTCTGATTTTTTTTCCTTTATGAAAACTGTTTAGTATGTGTTGGAAGCTTTTCGTATTGTGAGGTATATGATCTTCATTCACAAATATTATCTACGTGAAACTATGTAGATAAAGCAAATGTTAACATAAAAACATATGTTTGAATCATAAAACCTATCTAAATCTTTATATACAATTAGGTGGCCACCATATCGTTTATACATAATTAATGATATGTACTACTTTTTTTCTGTTGTAATCCATGTAATACACTTTTAAGACCTTCATGTTCAATTGTTGTCAACTGGAGTTCACACCACTGTCTTTACTTAGTGGGGTTGCAGAACAGAGTACAAAGTGAAACACGGCAGTACAATTTTTCAGTCCTTAAGTAAGGAACTGCTGGTCTTAGAGAGTGTAGACTTCACCCAAATTCTTATTGTTAGAAGTAGGATACAAACACAGAGTAAAACGTACCTTCATTCCAGGAGGTCCTGGGGGTCCCTGTGAAAAAAAGACATATTTGATGTCATTGCTCCTCAGTGTTGTATATTTTACATCTTATACTCTGTATCTTTTCATATAGTTATATTTGAATTTTTAGAATCAGGGTTGAAAAAAGTGAATCAAGCAGAAAAGAATCTACTTACTATACTCCCAGTCAGTCCGGGTAAACCTGGGGGACCTACTGGACCTCTTTCACCCTAAGGGGAACAGAGAAATCAGGGTTTTTTGGGAACATATGCTTGAGAGATGTTTTTATTTCAACACAGAGATGCTCTTAAAAACATATATAAATTTCACCTTTGTGCCATTACATCCTGGAATGCCAGGTGGACCAGGAGGGCCATCTTGTCCAGGAATGCCCTAAATGAAAAGAAAGCAAAGAAATTAACAATATTTGTAATAATCCAGGTCAGATGTCATGATTAGTACTTTGATGAATACAATTAGTTCTTTATAAAAATACCTATACTTCATACATACGGGAAGGCCTGGGTTTCCTGGAAAGCCTGATACTCCTGGGGGGCCCTGAAATTGAGAAAAACATAAACTGAAATGACAAATCCACAAAACCGCAAGGAAAAGCTGCAGCCCAAGTTGCTTTGCCAGTGATAACAGTCAAAAACAAGTATTATTAAAACGTCCTTTACAAAATCTTCAACACCTCTCAGACATGTCACCTTAGTAATCAGTAACTGATTTCTTTATATTTCTTTAACTTTTTAGGCAGTAGGAACTGGATCAGAGCCTTATGTAGAGGTAAAAAGGAATGCAGAGGTGTTGTTTTCTCACAACCACTGTTCCCAAAATGAAATTTACTGTAAACATCTCTTCATAGCAGGAGATGACGTAAACACACTGTAAAGATGTTCTCTTTCATACTCCTCATCAGCGTATCAATTTATCCTTATTATCAAAAAACTTAGCAGGCTGAGATAGCTCTTTCTCCTTGAACAGCTTTTCAGTGCAATGCATCAGCAGTTTAAGTTGGCAAATTATTTTCATCCTATCATCTTACTTATTCATGCAGTATTTCCTAATACGGGTATTATGAAGCAGAAAAGATGTATGGGAATCCTGTGCTTAGATAGTGTACTTGCTTCTTCCAAAACTCTGTAATTGTTATACAGGTTACTTGCACTGTAGCACACAAACACTTTTGCCAGAAGATGCCAGTTTATACTGACACTCAGGATACCCCAGGATATCACGAACATCACAGACTGAAATAAGGATTTCTTGAGCTAGCAGAATACCCTCCCTTTAATAGCTCAGAAACTGCAGTTGATTCAGTAAATTCTGTGTGCTGCAGCAACTGTAGGCAGACAGAGAACAAAACCGAGATGGTATTTTGAAAATCTCTAAACAAGAGGGTATAGCTGAAAATGTATCATTACTGGCCAAGTCATTTGAATCCTCTTTCGTCATGACATTACGAGACAAGACAATGCTCAGAATGAGCTTGGCACCTCACAAACCCCCAAGTCATGGCCCTGGCTAATATTATCATATGCTAAAATAAGTGCTATGTAAATGCCCCATTAAACATTAACGACAACAGGAAGACCATAGAAATATTCAGAGCCTCTTCTAGCGAAGTCAAGAGATCTTTGTTCCTGGCTTTAATTCGGCTCTGCATCTTGCGCACACTTTTAACACATATGTACTCATGAGTGTGTCAGCTTCTCTGCTGGAGTGCTGCAAGGAGACTAGATGGCAAACATAAAGGAGAATTTTGCAAGAGGAAATAAGGTTGGTTCATCCTGAAGCTGGAAAAAAAGTCTTTCAGTATGTCAAAAAGGTATCAAAGGTATATTAAAATCAGTGCTGTTGATGCAGTGGTAAGTATCAGGCAAAAATGCAAATGGATAAAGATATTGGCTGCCCAATGCAAAACTTCAAAGGTAAAAGTGAGAATTTTGAAATTATTGTGCAGAACAAGGAGATGTCATTGATTAACTCAAAGAAGAGACTAACTCCCTCTTGCATTTGAAGGCAGCCATGGAGAGTTAAAATATAAAACAACCCAAAGACATCAGAATTGCAAACAAGCAAGCTAGAACTCACTCTTGTTCCCTTTGTTCCTGGTAGTCCTGGTTCTCCAGTATCACCCTGCAAAGGAAATAGAAAGCTTTGTCTTTCTTTGGGACAACAATTTAGGGAAATCTGAATGTTTCAAATATGAAAGCTTAAGTTCATACCTTAAGCCCTGGTGGCCCAGGGGGACCTTCAGGTCCTTGCATTCCAGGAAACCCAATCACACCCTGTAGTCCTGGCAAGCCTCTTTCTCCCTGTGGAAGCAGAAAACTTATTAGTAACTATACAATACAAGTTGCTTCTTCAAGCCACTCACATATCCCCTATTTCTGTGCTCAAGAAACATGTTAGAGGGTAAGAAGATACATGTAACAGCAAACAGTTCATGTTTGTACTTGAAAGAAGGATTATTATAAATAAAGAAATATTTCTAGTTCAATAATAGATTGGCAGGGGCTGAGCGTGGCATAACAGAAAAGCACTCTTTGAATGCCAATGAAAGCTTTTTTTTGTCACTCTGGATAGCAGTATTCATAGCACACTTATACTCCTGGGATCAGGAAGGTCACTTTCCCTCTAATAAAACCTACCTGCATTCCTACAGAGATATAGCTAAATCCCAGTAAAACTCCAAATCAGCAATAAAATTCCTGAAAGCCACAAATATTACTGTTCAGTCACTACTGTATGAATGGCAAATACCAATCTTCTTATACACCATTCACAACAGTAGATTTTGGAGACCAGGCTTGTCACTTAGAGTTGAATTTCAGGGTGGTTCAGAGACAGGATGCTCAGAGATACAGAATCTTCCCAAGAAGCTGAACGCCCAGATTGTATGTGTCATCCTTTGGATTCTCCTTTAATGTTGTATGGGACATCTGTGTTTCCTGTGCTCTCCAGCTCCCTACAACTCCAAATGTATTTAAATCAGATAAATTTAGAGGCAGAAAATTCATCCACACTCTAGATCAATATCGCAGTTATAATATGTTCACTATATATGGACTCCCAGTGGAGGAACACTGTCTGAATAAAGGCAGCAAAATCTGCACACAGAGAGAGGGGGGAAAAAATACGCATGTCAACTCCTGGAAACAGCAAATCAAGCAAATCAAAAGCCACATGTTCCTCATAGGAAGTAACCAGAGTTGTCTTTTAAAGGTGTGATGTGAAATGGGGAGAAACAATTTATATTGTCAAAAACTATGGGAATATTGGATGAATAAAATGTTAGTGTGCAACTGCAAAAAGGAAAAGTTCTATAAGTTTGGAAAACACACTAAAAAGCATGGCATCTGTTTTAGAAACTCAAAACACAGCGATTTTCAAAGGATAGCAACAAGGTTCAAAACACACAAAAGGAAGCTATGCAAAGATTTAAGGATTTTCAGCAAAACAGTGAGAGATGAGATTGCTCTTTGTAACTAACAAACAATTTAGTATTTGATTTTATGATGGTGATTAACAAGACACTTTTCTCCTGTTTGTTCAGGACAAAGATTGCCAGAAATATGATGGCTACTTGGAGAGGTCAGCTGAGGATTGAGCACACACAAGAAGAACAACATCTGAGTCTTGGAGAGCTCATTTGTCAAGGAAGTATAACAGGCATCTTGCAAAGAAAAAGTTATGACATGCAGGCAGAGGAAACTGAGTGATGACCAACAGACATAGTGCTATTACACTGTCGGAAGATGAGATGAATTGGAAGATTTGTGGAGTTACTGGGTTGATGTTGTTTTTTAGTTCCTTGTCCAGGATTTCATTAAAATGAAGAGATGAGGGAGAAGAGGCATTACTGATGGGTAAGAAGAGCAGGGCAAAGGAGGAAGGAGGGCAGAAAACCATAACTGAGATGATAAGAGCATGAAAAAGTGAATTCAAAATAACACTTGTTTAGGAAAAAATCCTGCCAGAATAAAGCATCCTGCTGCTTTTTCTCTCCTCCCTCCCACAAAAATAAACTTTTCAATAAAAAGGTACTTTCTGAGGCAAACAATCAGTTTTTCCTTTAAGTGATGAAATGACATGATCTCCTCTATTTACTACCCAGTATTCTTTGTCATGGTTTGAGAATAAGGTTTGCAAATCTGAAGCAGTGTGTTAGACCAGAAAACACAACAAAACGAAGCAAACATCAGAACAGTTGGAAAAATATGTTACTAGGTCAGCTGCAAGAGGTACAAAGTCCAAGTTTCAAAGTAACTAAAATCGTTTTGAAACGTATTTTAAAGAAGAATGTATCATGATCCAGGTCTCTGAATAAATGTGTTGAAGTAATTAACAATCTGAAAGATATCTGTAAAGTTAAACAAATTAGTCAGGTACATAAACCCATACTTTGGCTAGCCAATTGGCGCTGCCAGCACAAAGCTATTTCTACAAAATCACTTCAGACCAGGATTTCACATTGAACTCTGAGCACTTGCTCTCACGACCTGTTGGGAGGGAGAAGACGCTCAAGTACATACAACAGGGTCTTCTGTTGCTGAAGGAAGGTACAACATGTGCAGATGAGAAGAAAACAAGATTACTTTGACAGAGAAATATGAGTCATGTGTAACATATGTGACTCAGATCAGTCACGTGTAACATGACTGATACTTTCTGCACTCAGAAGCTCTGTCCATCTGAGGATTTCACCACAGACCGAACCACTGCACCCTGCAACACAGGGAAATAGTTTTTCCTCCAGTCTTAAGAAAAAATAATACTGAGGTTTACAGATCAGATTTTCACTTAGTCTAAAGCTCCCTTAAGATCGTTCTGGCACTGTAAAAGACCTTAACATGCCTGTAAATCACTCACTAAGGTAATGAATGTTTCAGCTTGCCAAGGAGGTTAACTAAAGGCTTAAAACAAATAAAAACTTGGGCTTCCAGGGCATCTATGGTCAATTCTCTCAAGACTCTCTTCAGTCTCCCAGGTTGCCCTGAGAGGTAAAACATAGCTGGAGGAGCAGAGTCGAGACTATAAACACGTCACTTCAAGGTAAGATACATCCAGGTTTCCCTAGAAACATTTTATTTTCCTGACTTGAACTGTTAGCCCAACAAGAAAAATGTGCTATTTGTCAAGAACTTCTGGACATCCAGTCAAGCTACTGGATGTTCCAAGGCCTGGAAAGTGTAGCTCTTGAGCATGTGGAGGGCTGTTCCATTCCAAATACTGCAGATTCACGGTTTCTCATACTGGAACTGAGTTCATCTATGATTTGCTAGAGGGAAGTAAGGAAACATAAAGGCAACTGCATGTGTGAGAGCTGTGTGATCCCTCCCTGCATGCAACCTGCCACCTTGGCTGCTTACTCATGGACTTACACACTGTGAACACCTCTCCCTCTACTCTGCCTTCCCATTTGACTTTACTCCAAAGTAAGTTCAGGATAAATAGTACAAAGTAAGTATTGAGTAGGAAGCCCAAACTTCTGCAGTTTCAGGGTACACAGTTAATCAGACTTAACTCCTCTATTCCATGGAAACTGAGAGAATTAGGACAAACTATTCCATCAAGACCCAATAACACACGTAGGGAAGTCTCCTGGGTTCCAGTCCCTTTCTTTAGTCCAGATATCAGTCTGCCTGTTTGTACAACAGCCTTAGAAAACTAGTGGTGCAAAACTTGTAAGGAAAGAAGCAGCACTAATGAACAAAGGTCTTTTTTCAATACTCCTGCTTGAGTTAGCACAAACTTCAACCATAAGATATTTTTTGGTATCAGTGATACTACGTTAAATGACAGAAAAATTCCATCAATCTCAGAGTATGTAAACTGAAGAAGAGAGGAAAAAACTACCCTCTAGAAGCTGTAAAGTCATGTGAATGCAGAGTGTCCTAATGTCACTGAGTAGATTAGACCCCAGAGATCACTGAGGTAGCAACATTTGTACTACTGCTTTCCTACCAAAAGTGGTTTATTTGGAACTTCAGGCTCTGATGAACCTGTCACTTATTATGCTGTGCAATATAGACATAAGCATGTCCTGAAGATGTCTTGCATTGCACAGAAATACTTGAGCAGCATCCTTTCCCAGCTTGTCTTTCTGGTTTCTTTCTTCACTCAGTGTTCCAGCCAAACAGCCCAACAGCTAGTGTTTGAGCTACATTTATGCTGCACCCACACTACATAAATTGGCAAGCACTAGGTCACCACTGCCACCCCACTTATTTTTTGCTCAGCACTGAGATTTGTAGCTGTGATGCATGAAGAGCATGAGACTCTAACTGCAAGGGCTATGTATTGTTCAAGTTCCAACATTCACAGCTGCAAAGTCTTGGCAAGTAACACTGAAAGAGCTTCTGCATCTTACAAATCAATTCATGAGACTCAAAAACTAAAACAGATGTAAGCAAGTCATCTGTACCTCTGCTGATTCAATGCAAACTGTCAGAAGGCACAAAGGAGAATTCATTACTCAGCTCACAAAAATTAATATTCTGACACTCAGCTGCTGAAAATGTGGAGGTGCTACGTAAAAAGATAGCAAGTGCTCAGTCACCACTCCGCTCATTTAATAAGCAAGATGCCTGTGTTAGTTCAGCTTTTGTGAAATGCCTTTGCACTAGGTAGTTAAAATTAAAATTAAATGGACTTATAAACAGATGGGAACCTGTTGAGAGCTTAACTGCATGGGCTGGTATTTTCTCTAGCACCTACTCTTCTAAATAAGCCATTTAATGCTGTTTGACACATGGAATAGTTGCAGATTGCTAAGCAAGAGAATCACATGAATTAAGTAGTTTCAGAAGATTCAGCTGTAATATATCAAGTGCTGAGGGGGAGGAAACAATCACCACCCCATTATAAATTATTTCCCCTATTACTTTGTCTAGGGACTGCTGGACTGGGAGATTTTAGACTTGAGAGACTGGTAACATGGATATAAATCAACTGCTTCCAAAAGTGCAGGCTCACAGGGTGTCTAGGTCTGTAAAACTATGTTCTCACCCTCTCCAGAGACACAGGCACATGGTGAACAACAATTGCGGATCTTCCCAAAGCCATTTGAATGATGCTTGATTCCTTAACATTTGCTTCTGCCAGTGATCACCCTGCAGCTGAGACAGCAGGACAGACACGTCTGCCCTTCAGCTGAAAAGGCATAAAACTCAGTCTTGTGGAAAGATGTCATAAGGCAACTAAGCTGATTTACCCAGCAAAGGTGCCTTTTCTTCTCCTTCTTTTAAAGGGATGGTGCCACCTCATCCTTCTTTACACCAGCTGGTATGATTCCCTCAGGCTCCACCACTCC